GTATATTTAAATTTTACTTAAGAATATTGTATATTTGAATAAACATGTAATATGTATATACGTATTATGTAAATATTGACTATATATGTGATAAACAGTTTATTGATCATGAATATATTATGTCTGATATATATATATAGAATAAATTAAATGGGTATACTGTAAATTAGAGAAGTACAATATAACAAAAAAAAGTAATTAGAAAAACTCTTCAAATCACATATAAGTAGAGACAACTATTTTTAGCAGGTCATATTTGTTTTTGGTGCAGACTAATTAAACATTTTTAGTCACTATTTTTTCGGTCACATATCACACTGCAAATTCCAATTTATTTTATTTTTATTCTAATTATTTTTGTGAGGTTTTCATCATTAATAATAAATTAAAATATACATTTATCAAACATATAAAAACCAAAACAAAGATATTTAAATAGCACACAATTAAAAATCAAATAATTAATTGGTCTAACTTTAATTATATCATAATAATAATTTATTAATTACAAATTTTAAAATGACAGATGTCACTCTCTCCTGTGCTGATGTGGTACTCAACTGGAGAGAGTTGGCCATATTTTATATTATAGATTAAAAATCTATTTAATTAACATCACTAGGCTAGTCATGAACAAACCTAAATTCTACTCATTTATATAATTATATATGTCAAATGGTGGAAACATCCTAATAAATAGAATCAGTCGAATGAAAGAAATAACAATAAATTTGCACGAACGATCATAGAATATATCTATTGTTTCTATCAGGGGCGGATCCAGAAACGAATTTTATATGGAGCATAATATAAAATGTAAATTTAAATATAATTTTATTAATTAAAATATATTACTATCATAGAAAAACTTTACATTAGTTATGGAGTTTTAAGTCTTATTTGTAACAAAATTAAAAACTAGAAAGATATAAAAAAGAAATTATTAATTTATATAAAAGAAAGAAAATCTTAGATAAAGAAAAAATCAGAAAATAAAATAAAACACTTAAAAATTAATAACAAACACTTATAAAAAGGTGATAAACAGAAAATTAAGTGTTTAGAAAGAAAAAAAAATACAAAAGAGACACTTAAAAGGAAGTGGAAAGAAAAAAATGAAATTTTGCAAACCAAATGATCTGAATTCTATAAATGAAATATTTTCTATAGATGATTTATTAAAGGTAGTGTGGGGCACGTGCCCCAAAACTCACAAGGTGGATCCGCCCCTGGTTTCTATTGTTTCGATGAACATGTTAATTTGAAGTATGAAAATTAATAACTTGCCGATAGAAGAAAAAAACGACAGAAAATATTAGATTTACAAGGTGATCTAAAATGAGAACTGTTTAACTAAAAATAAATTTGGTTTTTATAAAAATATGATGTTCAGGAAATATGCTGAACTTTCAATTTCAAATAATTAAAAAATATTATATTGTCTTTGTTAAAGTTTACAGTACACCAAATCTAAGTTCTAAAGTATCTTATCTATTTTTTTTTGGGGGGGGGGGGGGTTCAACAGTTTTTGAGATCATATATTTTGTTTGGCAACTTCTTGTGTGATTAGATCTAAAACAGTAAAATGTCACATGTTGGGTGTTTTGACGCACTTGAAGTTTATAACAGTTTTTAATATTTTTTTGTTTATATTTCATTTATTTATATATAAATTTGAAATTTTCCTTTTTAGTTCTTCAAAATTTTGTAGATTTTTGGTGACCACCCATGCATATTTAACACATTAATCTACATAAGGAGCTAAAATATGAAGAAAAAAATGCAATAACAAAACTTAAAATAAATAAATTATTTTAATGTGTGTTTTAAATAAATAGTACTGTAATATCATATAAAATAGCATGTTAACTAAAAATAACACATATATTTATTAAAACTATACAAATTCTATATTATTTTGATAAATATAGATTTAATAAATGAACAGATTTTTTTTATGATCTTTGTATTTGTCATTTCACAAATGAAAAGTCAACATATAATTATTTAGTGTTTTTATTAGAACAGTTATTACAACATTTTATTAAAAAAAACTGCAAAATAGCTTGCTCAATTTTCACTCAGCGAATTCATATCCAAATTTTTATAATAGCATTTTTAATATTTTTTAACATATACCTGGATTTTTTTAATCTAAATTGTATTAAACCAAACAAGCCAAATTTTGATATTCTCACTTGATTTAATTTTATGTATGAAACATATATTTCTATGCGTAAAAACTGATTTGCTTATAATTTAGTTAGATTTGGATTCGGTAATAAATCCAAATACAAGTCAATTATTTTAGATTTATGTTTTAAAAACTGTTATTTTTTGTGTGGTTATAAAACTTAAAATATTAATATAATCATTTTTCTTAGAGTTTGTTAGGTTAATACGATGTTTTGTATTTAAATACATAATAAATCAGATAATAGTTTATATAATAAATTTATTATTAATTTATTAATTTATTATAAATTATGAAAAATATTAATTTAATTATTGTACAACCCATAATTCTTTTGTCTTATAAGGTCTACAATTAACAATTAACGATTATATATTCACTACGACTAACAATTTTATCAACATCATGCTGAATTTTTTCTGTAAACTTATTTTTATTAATTTATATAATTATTAATTAATTTGGGATTTAAAATCCACATTTGTTGGTGTAGAAGGATTATTTAGCTTTTGATTTCCTAGTGTATAATCATTATGATTTTAATGTAACTTTAGTGGAAACCTCATATTGGACAAAAATATTAAACACTATATAATTCTATTAGTCACTTACTATGAAATATATAGAATGTTCAGTGCTCTTTCGTATTTCCGGGGATCAAAAACTCTGTGAAAAAATGTTGCTGAAAACTGTATTTTATAAGTTAAAACAGAAATTATATTAAAACAGTTATATTTTTTGAAAAATGAAAGAATAAATATCTTTGGAAGCACCGCAAAGTGTCGCGACAAAACCAAATTCATTAAGGACCTCGCAAGTGATGTTGTGCGTGTTCATGAAAGTGTGAAGAATACTGGAGCAAGGTGCTTGCGAGAGGAAAGGATGATAGCTTGGATTCCCCCGAGTGAAGAATGATTTAAACTAAACACGGATGGAGCCTTCCGTAGAAATCCTAGAATAGCAACGGCGGATGGTGTGTTACGGGACGAGGAAGGGAACTAGTGCGGTGGTTTCGCTTTCAACATCGGAATTTGCTCGGCGCTGTTAGCTGAGCTTTGGGAAGTCTATTATGATATGTATATCGCATGGGAGCGTCGAGTTGTACGTTTGGAGCTAGAGGTGGATTCGGAGATAATTGTGGGATTTCTTACAACAGGGATTAGCGACTGCAATCTTCTATCTTTCCTAGTACGGTTGTGCTATGGCTTTTTAGCAAAGGACTAGATTGTCCGTGTGAAACATGTATATCGGGAAGCAAACCGTCTTGGTTTGGCGAATTATGCTTTTGATTTGTCTTTAGGCTTTCATTTTCTTTCAGCGATTCTAGATGAGGTTGTAACTACTATGTCAGAGGATACTCGAGGTACTTCATGTCGAAGGTTGTAGCTTTCTCGTTTTTTCTTTAAATAAAAAAAAATTAATCCCAACCAAGCGCGGTAGGTCAGAAAGATTTTTAAATCCGATCCAATTAGTCCGGTCCGACCAGACGTGAAGGAGAAAATCCGGTTTGGTTTACCATTGATGCCATTTCAAATTTTGTCAAGCAAACCGCCGCCAAATTGAGTAAACGGATACTAGTTGTACTTGTACATCATCTGACTTTTCAAAATTGTTTTCTTTTTATTAAAAATAGGAAACAAATTCTAAATACGTAATAGTCCATCCATGTTTCAAGCAAAGACTTTTTTTGAACTTAACAAGCAAAGACTTGTCGACATGAGATACAATAAGCAAGAATAGGTTATACTTGGATCAATGATACATAGCCATTTAAAAGATTTTTCTGTGTGTGTTTTATCATATAATGACGAGATTAAATGTACGGATTATTTTTTTTCATATAATTATATTATAAACAAATTCATTATTCACACATACATATATTTATGTCGCTATTTAGGACTTTCAAGAGTTTTCTCGGAATATTCTTTACTAAAAAGAAAAATCAATGGGAAGGAAAGAGAAGAATATAGACATAAACACGTGGATTCATAGCTTGAGAATTGGTTCATCAATGCTCGATCAAGTCTTAACGATAGTCCATAGAGTCACCATGGACTTCAAGACACATCAACCATGAAATATTTATGGGATCTATATAGAAAAATAATTAAACTTTCCTGCTCTTGTTGAAATTTTGGCAGGCCCATTATAATTATATTTTCCCTATTTGGAAAATGAAAAGGATGGTTTTTCTGCACTTAATTCTGTTTATTTGAACGGCATGTCACGTACAATTAAATGCACCATATAAAATAGTATTATCTTTTTCTTTTTCTTTTTGACAGCATATATATATATATATAATTTGACAAAAACATATTATTATCATTTATTTTATTAAATAATTGAACATATTATTATAATGTGACAAAAACATATAACTAAGGCTACCTAATTCCGAAATTGTAATTGATGCGTTATATATGTAATGTACTTTTTTCTTAAGAATTTCTTAAACCCATCAATAAACTAAAAGATCAAACGCTAAATTTACGTCTTATCACGGATAATACTGTTTTCTAATTAAGCTACATAGATTTCAATTTTTTTTCTTGTAACAACGCACATGTGGATAGTATCATATCAACCCTAAATAATAGAAAATCATTTCTCTAACAGTATATGCCTCCTTTAATAATTTGCTTCCATCTATAGAAAGAGTGGACAGCGACACATGAATTTTTATCTATATATAGAGGGTAAGGGTTTTTCCTCATACATCAATATAAAGCAAAATACAAGAAATTAAGAATCGTAGAAAGGAATCACTTCTCAAATTTCATTTCTTCTTAACCATATATAGCTTTACATGGCTTCTCAACCTCCCTTTGAGTCAAATTTCTCTTCGATTTTCGGAAGCTCATTTCCAAGATCAACCACTAGTGATGATAACAATATTGGCAAACCAATCATTCATACCACACGAGTAAAGCTCCCGGTGATCGATCTCAGCCATCTAACTAATGGCGAGGAGGCCAAGCGCAAAAGATGTGTGAAACAAATGGTTGAGGCAGCTAAAGAGTGGGGGTTCTTTCAAATTGTGAACCATGGAATCCCCAAAGAGGTCTTTGAGATGATGTTTCTCGAAGAGAAGAAACTCTTTGACCGATCCTTCTCTGAGAAAGTCGGAGCAAAATTCTTGAACTTATCCAAGAATTGTTACCGGTGGGGAAACCCTAACGCCACTTCCCCCGCTCAGTACTCCTTGTCGGAGGCGTTTCACATCACTCTTGCAGAGATCTCGAGTTTTTCTGATGATCGCAACAACCTCAGGTTTCAGTCTTATAAGTGTTCTTTAATTAGTTTGTTTGATTTAAGATCTATCAAATGATGAAACCCTAATTCTCGTATTTTAGTAAAGATAGGCTATTGACTTTTAAACAGTGATTTCACTTCAGGGCAAAGTTCTTAGCAAGTCAATAATTGATTACTTGTTTTCCCTTCAGTTTCATGAATATATGGGAAATATTTTAATTTTCTGGAAGGAAATTTTCTTATGGTTCTTTGGAAGATCAAGGTTCACAAGTTACTCAGTTACAAGCGTGTACAATATTTACAACCAACTTTATATTGAAGGAAAACTTTGATATATAAATATAGAGATCGGTCTGTTGTTAGAAGTACACATAAATACCGAATCATTGTATATCATTATTATACAGATGAAGAAACAAATATATTATTAATTTTTCCTTTTCTTTTAACAGAACAACCGTTCGAATGTATGTGGAAGAGATAGCTCGAGTGGCACAAATGATATGCGAAATACTAGGGAATCAAGTGAACGTGAACTCGAAGTATTTCGAAAACATTTGGGTACTGAAAAACAGTTTTCTAAGGCTTAACAAGTATCATCCTCGTGTTACTGGTTCGGAAGTGTTTGGTTTGGTTCCTCATACCGATTCAAGTTTCATCACTATACTCTCTCAAGATCAAATCGGAGGTTTGGAATTGAAAAAAAATGGACAATGGATTGGCGTAAAACCATGCTCGGAGGCTCTTACTGTGAACATCGGTGATATGTTTCAGGTAACTTCAATCATTGATTTTCAACGTTCGAGTCACTCACTTATAAGGTAAAATGCTGTAATATATAAGTTCTAAACTTCTGAATTATACTATGACTAGTCGCGACCTGATGACTTAGACTATAGAAGTATCAGCTTGGTATGCAAGGAAATAAAAATAATGATAAAAGTATAGTTTGTTTTCAATTGTTCTGTTATCATATCAAAAACATTTTTTTGTTAATTCACATGTTTTTGAATCTAGTTATAACTAATGCACCTATAACTATTTTCAAGGATATCCAAGAATGAATGTTGCGAATTAGGTTATGATAAAGATCTTTCTTTTTATATAACTCTATAATTTCTCTATAAATGATTTGGATCATATGCAAAAAATTCAGGGGAAACCCTAAACTCACATAAAAACAATTAGAGCCACGGTTTTGGAGTTGTGGACATATAAGGTTATTCGTAAAATTTTAGTCCCTAAAACTTTTAACATTAGTGCTAGTGATTCATAAGCTATATAATTAGATCGATATTGCTATTCACTTGAATATGTTAATTTTCTTAAAATCTAACTATCCTAGTTACTATATACTATGCTACAGGCACTGAGTAATGGAGTGTACCAGAGCGTGAGGCATAGAGTGATTTCTCCGGCGAACATGGAGAGATTATCAATAGCTTTCTTCGTGTGTCCTTATCTGGAAACCGAGATCGAATGCTTGGGGATTCCAAAGAAGTACAGAAGATTCAGTTTCAGAGAGTATAAAGAGCAGAGTGAGCGTGATGTTAAAGAAACTGGTGATAAGGTAGGCTTGTCTAGGTTTCTCATTTGATCCATGATCTTTGCACCTTTAGTAATTCAGAGGTTAATAAAAAACTAATGTTGTTGTTACTCCTCATCCTCAGTTAACATCTATGCTCAACGCAAGATCTAATAATAATAGTGTAAGAAAAATAATGTTTTATATATATATATATATATATATAGTGAAATGAATCATTACCATTTTCGTTCAATCATTTTGCACATAAACGGCAACATAAAAAATGTCTCATATATATAAAAAGAAAACGACAAAACAAAAAAGTATCACGGATCCTTCAAAGTGTGTGTGTTGTCTTTCTTTATCCTTTTTTTTTTGTGTTCAAATTGTCTTTCTTTTTCCTTTTTCCATTTTTTTGTGAGTTGACGATTTTCATTTTCATAGCCTTTTTGTTTACTTTCAGTAATTCTCTAGCAAATATCCAAAGCAAGCATTTTTACAAATTAAATTTGATTAGCGATTCTTCAAATTGTGTTTTTTCTGCTTTTCTATTCATTTTAGTGGTTTGACAAATTCATTTCACAGTTTTCTTTTTTTTTTGAAAATTTACTTTAGGCGATTTTTTTATTTTTACCGTCTAAATTGCTTTCATTAATTAGTTTTGGGCCAAAATAATGCTATACCGGACTCTTCAGATTTCGGTTTGATTTCAAGACGGCAACATTCAACAAGACCAGTGAGATTATACGTTTATAATTAACCCGGTCCGGTTCATATGTACGAACCGGTTCGTCTGATTTCCGTATTTAAACAAACCGTACAAAAAAGTTCATATCGTAGTAATGTTGGCACAGAAACCGAAGAGGGAAAGGGACGCCGGAGCTGTTTTCTCGGCGTCGATCGGAAGAGTTTGTGGAAGATCACACCTGGTTTTCTTCTCGGTTACTATTAGGGTTTTCGAGAACTTCGATTCATAAATTAGACTCGTCGTTGATCTATATGCTCCCCTTTTGTTTCGCAGATCGTCAATCTCGGGTGATTTTTGGGTCGATCATACAAATTACTAGCCATGGACAGGCCCAATGGTTTAGATTTTATCAATCAGACGTTTCCAGCAGGTGATTATGGCTAGATTTGTTCTTATTACTGTTGATTCCGTGATTGAACTATTTCAAATGATTGTTTTAATCCAAATTATTGGCGTTCTGTTGATTCCGTGAATCAACTATTACGAATAATTTAAAAAAAAAAAAAAAAAAAAAAAATCTGAATGATTGGTGTTCTGTTGATTTCGAATGATTGTTTTACTTTTACAGAAGCGTCTCTACTTGGCGTTGAGCCACTAATGCTTAACATTCACAATGAGATTCGACGGATTGATGCTACCATACTTTCTGCTGTTCGTCAACAGGTGAAATGTTTTTTTAAAAAAATTTTCTTTCTTCCCTTACTAGTCGTTTATAGAAATCGATGTTAAGATTATTAATCTTAGGCTTTAGATTTGTTACAACTTTACAAAAGTTTGTGATTCTTCATCTTTCCTCGCTTCTTTGTACTGTACCTAAACATTGCATGGACCTTTTTGTGAGTAGTCTATTACTTGTTCTGAATTTCTTGATTTGAAAATTATATTGTGTCCACTATGAAATAATAATAATAATAAGTTTTTGCGTCTATCTTAAAAAGATTGATATCTGCCTTTGAAAGCTGAAACTTATGTAATGATTACCTCAGAGTAACTCAGGAACTAAAGCTAAACAGGATCTTGCTGATGCTACATGTGCTGCAGAGGTTAGTTTTCTCATATTGTCAAGATATATCATTTCCTTGTTTTGTTTCTCTTATCACTCGTGAAAGTTTCGGTTTTTACATTCTTTTTTTTTTTTTTTTTAACTCAGGAACTCTCTCATAAGATACAAGAGATAAAATCAAAGGCTGAGCAAACTGAGGAAATGGTCCAAGACATATGCCGTGACATTAAGAAGTTAGATTTTGCAAAGAAGAACGTAAGCACGGCGGTCACTGCTCTTCACCGCCTCAAAATGGTTGGTAAGTAATCAATTCTTACGCCGTTGGATTAGTTCACCATTAGGTATCTTGAAATCACAGAACAAGCCCTATATAAATAGGGGTGGCAACAATAAACAAGTAACATTATGTTACTGATTAACCTATTAGTGAATCTATCTTCTTCTTTGACCAAGTGCACCATTCATATGCTCATTAATGACACTCACTGCAATGTTGTGGGCAGTCTCTGCGGTTGAGCAGCTTCAGGTGACGGCGTCAAAAAGGCAATACAAAGAGGCAGCTGCACAACTTGAGGTACAATCTTCGCCATTTGTTGGCTCAGTTTAAATTGGTGCTAGTTCATTTTATTTGGCTTTATGTTCACCATGTGAGCACAATGTCAATTTATAATTACTTTTTAACACTAGGTTATCAACGTGAACTTATTAGCGGATGATTCTTCCCGTTTTCTGATGATATTCTTAAGATCTAACTCTATAGCATACTTCAGGCTGTAAACGAATTATGTAATCATTTCGAAGCATACAGTGATGTTCCTAAAATCACAGAGCTCAGAGAAAAGCTCAAGAATATTAAGCAAATTCTTAAGTCCCATATTTTTGCTGATTTTTCCAGGTATTGCCTTTTAGTGATATTCTAACTTGTTTTACATATTTTAATAACTTTATTTCCAGTGGTGTTAGCTGCTCCCTTTTTGTTAGAATAGCACTTGCATATTATTTAGGCTGGTTCTGCTCTTTCTGTAGTAAACCACTATTCTTGTAAGATGTTTTGTTATAATCTCTCACTTTCGACCCTTTGTTCCAATAATGTCCACTGTTTTGGATTTCAGTTTAGATACTGGGACAGAGGCAGAGGAAACAAATTTGCTGAAGATGTTATCTGATTCTTGCTTCGTCGTTGATGCTCTGGAGCCATCTGTGAGGGAAGAGTTGGTAAACAACTTTTGCAGCAGGGAGCTAACCTCATATGAACAAATTTATGTAAGAGCCGGTATGTTACATTTAATATCCTTAGGTATAACTGGCACTGAAAGTGCATTCTTGTAATATGTGGTTTCTAAGTGGTTAATTGTTGGCAGAATTGACAAATTTGGATGAAATAGAGCGGATATACCATTGGATAAATCGTCGTATCCGAACAAATCAAGAAATTTGGAAGATATTTCCTGTTTCATGGCATGTTTCCTTATAGAGTATGCATCCAGTTCTGCAACAAAGCAAGGTAGCACCTCCTGTTTTTCGTTGAACATTTATCTCAGAGCTTCTAAATCTCTCTTTTGGAGTTCTCAAGAGATTTAGGACATGCCCTATACTTCTGAATACCTTTCTTTTGGTTTTGATCTTGTAGTCATTTTGGTATGCAAATTGAGTCGCAGTATTAACTTGTTTTTTACATTAATTTGTTTCAGGGAGCAAGTGGAATCTTTTCTGGTCAACATGAAAGAGAAGCCAGATGCAGAGAGATTGCTTCTGGTCAGGAATGCTTGTCCTATAACATGAAAATTTCATTTTATCTAATCAGATAGATTGTATTTCTGATGTCCCATAATAAAGTTTGGTGTTACTGAATGAATAGGAACTGGAAAGGACGCTAAAGTTTGAAATGGAACTTGAAATGAAATTTGGTGAATGGGAAAATAAACCTCAGAATGGATCCAAAATTCACATGAAGTATGTAAAGAAGTTTTATGCTAATCAAGAATCGGGGGCAAATGTATGTTATATGTACTCGTTCTACATTTTGGAAAACACTCTAGTAACTTTGTATACACGCTTAAACTGTATTCTGAAATTTTCGCTTCCTCTGCCTCAATAGGAAAAAACCGGAAACAACGATTTATCTGATCCTGGAGCCAAGGTATATCCCCTGCTTCTAGTTTTCCTCACTCTCTCTAAATTTGGTTGTTAAAAAACCACCAAAATTATAAATTTCTTTTTGTATAAATTCTACTGTTATTCTAGAATTCTTTAGAGGGAAAGTGAAAAGTAGCTTAACTTGGCATGGCTTCCCCTTTTTCCGGTTCTACTGATATTATGAGACTTTCTACATCCATTTTTGTTTCCTTGTTCTCCACTTGAGCCATTACTAACTAGTTACTTGACCGGGCAGTTTAACTTCCGTGGAATTATATCTTCTTACTTCGAGCCTCACTTAACTCCATATATTGAGAAGGAACTTATGCACCTCCTGGAGAAAGTTGTTCAGGTAATTTAATATCTATCGCTTAGCGAAAGCATTTTTGTCCAAGGTTTGTCAAGTTTTCCTAATTTTCTATTTCTTTCTTGCAGGAGGAAACATGGGACTGTAAGGAGGAAAGTCAATAATATTCTATCTAGCAGCATACAGGTGAATACCTATGCAAGGTTCTATAAGATATCATTCCTTTACAAACCATATTTATGACATTGTATCGTAAGTCTTAACTAATCATTCAGTTTTAGTTTTCTAAGTAGTTTACCATTTCCTTGTTTGCAGTTGTTTTCCAGTATGGAGAAGAGTTTGAAACGGTGTAGTGCTCTCACCAAGAACCAGACTTTATTCAATTTGTTCAAGGTACATTTTTCACATGCTCGATATGGATCTTCTTTACATATCATGGACTAGTACTGTAATTTTGGACAATGTCTTAATTTGTCTAAGAACCAGCTTTGTTTGCGGGGTATTAGAAATTTACTTTATATGGAGAAACCTTGTTAGTTGAATTTGCTTTTCAAGGTGCCTAGGTTTCTTTCTACAAGGGAAGGGCATACACTTGTGCTCTATAATAATGACTGCTGACCAAATTAAATGCTCTCACTCACTGTCCCATATAAGATGGAATGTCCAGGATGGAGATTTTGAGTTTATATTTTTGACACGGTCTCTTCTTTACAGGTATTTCAACGAGTTCTGAAAGCTTACGCTACAAAGATACATCTTAAGCTCCCAAAAGAAAGCATGGACAGACAGATAAAGGTGGTGACCGTACCTCCCTGCTTCATGTTTCCCAAGTTCATGTGTGCTTTTCGATTTACCTTTCTTATTACCTCTATGCAGGACTCGGAGAGAGATGAAAGGGTGATATGTTACATAGTTAATTCTGCTGAGTACTGCCACAAAACAGTAAGCTTGTTTCATTTTTGACACCTTCAGAATCTACGTGATACTTTGTGTAGCCTTTTATTTGCCTCACAACTATTATTTGTTATTTTTTTTGCAGTCTGGTGACCTAGCAGAAGAAATCTCAACAACTATTGACCCACATTTTTCTGGCAGCGTAGACATGTCAGAGGTCCAGGTACTGTTGACATGACGGATCTAAACTTTCCCCCAGTTATGTTACTTATCTAGGATTCTTGTTAAGCTGTGTTACTGTGCAGGATGTTTATTCATCTGTCATAACGAAAGGATTGTTAACACTAGTCCGTAGACTGGAGACTAAATTTGACACTAAGATGGAAGATATGACACGTGTTCCCTGGGGCACACTTGAGAGTGTGGGTGACCATTCTGAGTAAGATCTAAAGCTTCTACTGTTTTGGATGCCTGTGTGACCAATAAACTAATAAGGCAATCAACAACATGCATTTGTAGGTACGTGGATGAAATAAATACAATCCTTAACAACAGCATTCCTGTCGTCGGTAAACTTCTTACACCAGTCTACTTCCAAATCTTCCTGGACAAGGTAATCATATAATAAGATTTGGATGCCTTTATGATCTGATGATTGCTGTCTTATACACGATTAGGATCCACAATAGTTGTAGTTTTTCGAGCCTGAACCAACTTCTTGCCTATTATGTAGATAAAATGTATGACATGTTTATTTGACTTGAGATTTGAACTGTTGTGGCATCAAGCTATCATCAATAACAGTTTAACGGGGTTAAAGCTAGACCAACTTCACAAATGATGACTTTTTTTCCGAAAATCTTTGTGCAGTTGGCTTCATCCCTTGGACTACGGTTCTATGCCAATATCTGCAGATGCAAGCCGATATCAGAAACTGGAGCTCAGCAGGTTAGCTTAGTTTATAAAGTATTATGGAAAGGGAAAGGCTAGAGCCAAAGTCAATTTGGTCTATATCGCATCCTTTTTCTGGATTGGAGCAATGTTTATACCGTGGTTTCTAGTTATTGTGGAAATCAAATCCTTCTCATTTTAGCCTTTCTGCTTATGTTAATGTCCATTACTTATTCAATTGGTTTTCATGGTAGGCTAATCCTTTGTATGCTTTGAACAAAATAAAAATAAAACTGTGTAGCTGCTTGAGGTCGATCCCCCCATGATATGTTTGTTGAGTTTTTTGACTAAGAATAAACCATCGTTTGGTTTGACAGATGTTGCTTGATACGCAAGTGATGGAGAAGAATTTTCTAGAAGTTGCATCTGGTCAGGTCAGCTCATCAGTTCCAGTTTATCTATGTGTGTGACTCTGTTGGTGGCTCTGTATTTTAAGATATATAAACATTGTTAGTTTTTAGTTTTGGTTCATCTTTAATGACATAAAAGCAGACTGCAACTGGTGGGAGCTATTCCGAAATTGTGAAGCGCGAAATGAAAAGAGCTGAAGCTGTCGTTAAGGTATTCGCCTGAGCACCATCGTGACAACATCTCTCTCTCTCTCTCTGTTCCCACAAAACTAAATATCATCTTACTGTTCTTAATAGGTCATACTCTCCCCAATAGATCCAGAAGGAAAACCCATGCAGCTTCGGCGAATCTTGGAACATAAGGTATTCTCTTGGCACTCTTAAATCCAATTTTAGTACTTAGAGATGGTCACTACTCTTGAATCCTGTTCTATTGTCGTCGCTGCAGGGTCTTACGAAAGCAGAGCAGCACAGTATACTTGATGATTTCAACAATCATGGACTAACAAGATCCTCAGTTGCATCGGCAATGCCACAACCACCTGCACCGTCACTGACGATAACTAATCCGGCTGCAGCCGTTGGGTTCATAGCAAACAGCGAGGGTGTGTTAACCAGAGCAGCTGTTCTTGGTAGAGGAGTTGCAACCACGAGCTTTAGAAAGTTCGTTGCTCTCACTGAAGCAGCCAAAGACCGTCCCCTCAGGAAACTCTTCAATGCATGATTTGTTCCTATATTTTGTTCTGTATGAGCTCAATTCAAAGCAACCAAATTAAACGAAAAAAAAAAAAAAAAAAAAAGAGAGGTAATTTAGATTACCTCGCGCCATCCCTCCTCCCAGAGGGCATGTCATGCACAATCCCGATCACAGAGGCAGAGAAATTTCTTCTTCTCCTCCATGGGGTGTACCAATTAGTGCTCGAACCCGGGTAGAGGGACTCATTGTTCATGATGAGTCGCTACCACTCTTGCTGTGCTCGAATTGGTGATAGAAAACCTCTTTTAATTTTACTTAAATCGATAAAACAAATAACCGGGTTCTCCGGTTCACCTAAATAATTCCATCAAACCAGAAAACGATTCAAAGGGCGTTATTGTGTTGTTTGTCTGTCTCTAATCATGAAATTTTTGAATATCAATCTCGTCTATTCAATACCAAAACAGCACGAGACACAAGTTCAAGTCTGTAGCCAAAACATACCCACTTGACTCGGTTCGTATGTTACATAGTAAATTCTGCTTGAGTATTGCCACAAAACAGTAAAGCTTATTTCATTTTTGACACCTTCAGAATCTACGTATGATACTGTGTGTAGCCTTTACTTGCCTTTCTACTGCTTATATAATCAAACAATGTTATGTAAACCGAACAACAACTTGGCACTTCACAACGATTAGTTGTTATTTTCTTGCAGCCTGGTGAACTTGCAGAAGAAATCTCAACAACTATTGACCCACATTATGCTGGCAATGTAGACATGTGCAGAGGTCCAGGCTACTGTTGACATGACGGATCTAAGATTTTCCTCAGCTACGTTACTTATCTCGGATTCTCGGATTCTTGTTAAGCTGTGTTTCTGTGCAGGATGATTATTCCTAGGGATGGGCAAAAAAAATCCAACCGAAGTGAATTAACCCAAATCAACCGAATCCGAACTGAAGTCTATATCAAAATATTTTGGTTGGGATTTCTATCAACCATTCAGTTCGGTTCGTTTTAAACCAAAACCGAACCAAAAACCAGTGTGTTTTCTTAATTATTAATTATTAAATTTCTAGTTTTGCTTTTATTTAAATTTGTGTTGATATTGATTTGTTGCAAGTTTTTTAGGCTGTAGAGGCAAGATAGATACTCTGATATGATGAAATTGGATGTTTTGGTTTTCTTTTTAGTTGAGTATGATTTAGAATTGGAGTTTTTTTCAGTTTTACGAGTTTTGTTGTTTAACACAGTTTACATTTTGATTTGAAGTTATGTTTAGTATTTACGCAAGGTTTTGTTGTTTTGCAAACTATTAAGTATTAACTAAACTAAACAAACCAAATCGAACCATATTTAAACTGAACCGAATCGAAGTCAAACCAAATTAATTTTAGTTGAGTTCAGTTAGAATTTTAGTATAACCAAACTAACCGAACCGAACCCGAACTGAAACCATAAGTAAACCGAAATGTCCACTCTAATTATTCTTCCTCTGTCATAAGGAAAAGATTGTCTACAGCTAAAGTCATATAACAATAACATGTTCATTCAGATTTTACTGATTCAGGCCCATGTCAACCCATTAGGTTATAATAACATGTTCCTTCAGATTTTACTGATTCAGGCCCATGTCAACCCATTAGGTTATAATAACATGTTCCTTCAGATTTTACTGATTCAGGCCCATGTCAACCCATTAGGTTTAAGTAACAAAGAAACACTATAATAAACTTGAACTCTTTCTTCCTCTTTCTCGATCCTTCTTCCTCTTTCTCTTCTTCTTCTTCTTCTTCTTCTTCCCAACCGATAGGTCACGGGCTTGTCAATCTCATATAAAATAAGCCAAGCTTATCATTTTCTTTCTTAGATTCATTTGACTAGAGATTTCGGAACTCTAGGAGTCGTGTGTCCCCTTTGGCACCAAACCCATTCTTTAACCACACCACCTGCTCGACGAAATTACCAAGAGAACTTCAGTTTCAGTCTTTCTCTCTCTCTCTCTAATAATTGCTTCTGTCAAGTAAGTTATTGATTTCTCTTATGGGGTTCTCTTCCTTGTCGTTTTCGTATCTGAATCTCTCTTATGGTTTGATTTTTTTTTTTTCTGTTAGTGGATTCGGAAGCATCATCGTTCAAGAAGCCGCTCGCGAAGGTGGAAAAAGAAACATGTAGGTTTAGCTTTTGCCTATACTAGCTTCGATTTATGCTTTGCTTTTAACAAATCTCTCCCGATGTTGTTCATGTTTCGTTTGTCTCTTGAATACATATCGACCATATACATTGCGTGCGCTTTGTAACTATTATTCACTTGTGGTGACAGTAATGGACAAGGACAAGGGCGAAGATGCTGAAGGGATCATTACTAGTCTTGAGGAATATCGGAAGGGGGTGGAGGAGATGCAGCTGGAGGTTACAAGAACGTTTGCGAACTTTGAGGCAAGGCTTGAGCCTAAGATGAGTGGATTAGCGCAGGCCGTTGAGAAAACTAAGAAGGAGACGTTGGAAGCCATTAAATCAATGTTTGCCGAGTTTCAGGCTAGGCGTGACTCTGAGATGCGTGAATCAGCCGAGACCGCTCTCGGATCTACGAAAGCTGGTCGGGAAATTTAACTTGAGAGGGATGTGATAGAGTAAAGGATCAAATCAAGTTATTGTTGGAAATCAAATCCTTCTCTTTTTTTTTTTTTGCCTTTTTGCTTATTTGTTCATTTGGCTAATCCTTAGTATGCTTTGGCAAAAAACAAAACAAAAAAACTCCCCCGTGATATATGTTTCTTGAGTTTTGATCCATCGTTTGGCTTCACAAATGTTGCTTGACACGCAAGCGATGGAGAAGGTTGGCCAAGGCTTTCTCTGCACTTGTTCATGTTTTCAATTTGTTAGCTGTGAGCTTGGAACTAACAAACATAACATGCTTTAAAAGCTCATCATCAGATAATTTCTTACGCCGATCGTTTCCTTGTGAAAAGTAACCTTGTTATCACTAAAGGGTTCAACACACCATAAGCGATTGATACTTCATCCGGAGTATTCACAAAGGAGATGTTGAAGATAAACTTGTTCTTGTGACAGGATCAATCAGAACACGGTTACCTAAATCTGCATTTTTTTTCAGATATATAATAAACATTGTTAGTTTTTGTAGTTTTGATTCATCTCTGATGAGATCATTGGGACCCTGATGTTTGGGAATAAAAAAAAAAAAAGAGAGGTAATTTAGATTACCTCAGATCGCCATCGCTCAGAGAGCATGAATCTCTGGGAAAGCACAACCCGACCACAGAGCTTCGCTTCAGGGAAGATCCGGGAACAAAGACAGTCGTCAAGACTCGATTGTTATAAATCCCCTCTCACGAGCATAGCTTGATCAAGGCTCACTCTTGTAAAGGAGATATGGGAGGAAGTTCAGCTTCTCTCCTCTCGGGGTACCAATATCTTGCTCGAACCCGGGTGAGACTCCATTTATCATGCTGAGTCACTACCACTCTTGCTGGGTCCGAATTGGTGACTTAACATCTCTTTTAATTCTACTTAAAACAAATAAAACAAATAACCGGGTTCTCCGGTTCACCTAAATAATTCCATCAAACCACGCCACATGTTCACACGAGCTTTCTAAGTGAGACTGTAGCCAAAACATACACACTTGACTCGGTTAGTGGTTAATTCGGAGATTTGATATGTTTCTCCACAACGGTTTAGCCTAATATGGGCTTAAGCCCACTAAATTGAGTCCGCTCTAGATATTGGAGTGTTAAAAAAAATTAGGAAAATGCTAAAAAAATTAGGAAAGTATGTAACGTGGTCTCCAAGTCTACTTGTCCCACGAACCTTTGCCTACAAATACCATTGTGTGAAATCGGAACTTTCTCAAGAAAATTAGTCTCTAAATTTACAAGCGCTCTTTCCTTCGCCTTCGCCCAGTTTCTTCTTCAGGTTCTTTCCTATTTTCAATTTGTCACTTGCGTTTCCTAATTCTTCGTCTTTAATCGATCTTGTGATTTTGATTGTTTGTATGTGTTCTTAGTTTTCTTTCGGATTCATAGAGCGGAATTTGTTTTCAGATCCTCAATTAGATCTTGCGAGTTGGATGTATTTGATCCTTACTTGTTTTTATTGAATTAGGTTATATATATTGGGGTTTGTGTTGGTTGCTTGATGATCCTATTTCCCTATAGTCCACTTTCAGTAATAACTGAAATCCCTTGGTTGGTTTTGTTGTTGCAGGTCGTGTTAAAAAAATGGGAGACATTAATCATGAGAACATTGAGAGATGGAAGCTTAAGAAGCAGATCAAATCACTTGAAGCAGCTAAAGGAAACGGAACCAGCATGATCTCACTCGTCATGCCTCCTCGTGACCAGATCTCTCGTGTCACCAAGATGCTGACTTCCGAATACGGAACCGCATCAAACATCAAGAGCAGAGTCAATCGCCAATCTGTTTTAGGAGCCATAACTTTCGCACAGCAAAGGCTGAAACTCTACAGCAAGGTCCCTCCCAACGGTCTCGTGCTCTACACCGGAACCATTGTCAACGAGGAAGGCAAGGAGAAGAAGGTTACTATCGACTTTGAGCCTTTTCGACCCATCAACGCTTCTCTCTACCTCTGTGACAACAAGTTCCACACGGAAGCTCTTAATGAGTTGGTTGAGTCTGATGACAAGTTTGGTTTCATTGTGATGGATGGGAAAGGCACTCTCTTTGGAACTCTGTGCGGTAACACGCGCGAGGTGCTTCACAAGTTCACTGTTGATCTTCCGAACAGTCACAGGAGAGGAGGACAATCTGCTCTTCGGTTCGACCGTCTCGGAGCAGAGAAGCGTCACAATTACTTGAGGAAGACGGCAGAGCTCGCCGCGCAGTATTACATCAACCCTTCGACAAGCATGCCTAACGTGGCTGGACTGGTTCTTGCCGGTTCAGCGGATCTCAAGACTAAGTTGAGTCAGTCAGATATGTTTAGTCCTAGGCTTGCGGCAAAGATACTCAATGTGGTGGATATATCATGTGGAGGAGAGAAAGGTTTCAATCTTGCTATCGAGCAGTCGTGTGATGTTTTGGCGAATGTGAAGTTCTGTCAAGAGAAGCGTCTTGTAGGGAAGTTCTTTACTGAGACGAGCCAACGCACGGGGAAGTATGTTTCTGGCGTGGAGGACACGTTAAACGCTTTGGACTCTGGTGCGGTTGAGACGCTTATTGTTTGGGAGAATCTTGATATCAACAGATATGTGATGAAGAACAGTGTCACTGGAGAAACCGTGATAAGACACCTGAACAAGGAGCAAGAAGGGAACAAGGAGAGTTTCAAAGAGTTAGATGTGAAGGAGAAGATGTCGTTACTTGAGTGGTTTGCTAATGAATACAAGCGTTTTGGTTGTGCGCTTGAGATTGTGACTGACAAAACAGAGGAAGGTGCTAAGTTTTGCAGAGGGTATGGAGGGATCGGTGGGTTACTTCGTTATCCACTTGACATGAGTGCCTTTGATTCTGAGGATGGAGAGGTTCATGATATTGATGATGATGATGATGATAGAGAAGATGGAGTGGTTCATCACGATGATGCCTTTGATTCTGAGGATGGAGAGGTTTATGATGATGATTCTAAATAGGAATTAATCAAATCCTTATCCTTGACGGGTAAGGAAGAAGATGGACAACCTTCAAGACAGAAGCAGCCTGCGCTGGCTCGCGGGGCCACACGGAAAAGAGTTGGAAAGTAGATGAAGAAGCATCTTTGTCCAAAGGTAATGAAGTGAGATCTCTTAAGCAATAAAGGTTTGTTTTTGAAATTCTTTTAGCTTACTCTTTATTGAATGGTGTGTGTTAAAACCAGGTGGAGAATGGAGAAAGAGGTGGGTGAATGAATTAGTCTTGGACTCTTTGGGATGCTACATTTTGATGCAGCGGACGTGTTCTATACAAATCCTAGTCTTCATAGGTTTTGGTTTTATGTTTTGGGATTTTACTTTTTATGTTCGTTTGGAGATATGAACTCCTAAGTGTTTTTGCTATTGCATTTTAGTTTGGATTTCTTTTAGAATCAAGAATTTGTCGTCTTACTTCGGTCGAAAAACCAAACTAAATTTTATTTAAGCCGGCAACTAAATTTATTTACCATCGTGAAAACAAAATAATCTTGGTCAAAACATGTCAGGTTTGTCATAAACAACACTGACACTCGTGTCGACAAGTTGTGGCATATTCACAAACCGTAAGTAGTTGCTGAAGCTGTCCCTGATGCTAAAGCACCTCAAAGAAGGTGCGTTGATCACAAACCCATGAACACCTTCAGGCTGAGACTTCCCAGTTGTATTATCGATAGATAAACTCCTCAGCGTAGGCACATCGATAGTAAACACCATCACGTTGGTAAAAGCGCTTCTTCTCACTACCAAATCTTCAAGAACCGGGCATCTGCTTAGAAGCGTCTTCACAGATTCGTCGCTCGAGAATCTAACAGACAAAAGGTGGAGACTTTTGAGGCAGACCAAACGAGCATCGAGTGGAACATCCACAAGAATCAGCCTCTCGAGTATAACAAGAGGTGAGATGCCTGAAAGGAATTGCAAACCATTTCGATCCTCAGCTTTCTCAAGGAGCGAGCAACTGAAATGTTAACCAGAGGTGAGATGCCTAAGTTCTTGAAATTTAGGTATAGCTTGAGGCTTAAGAGCTCTAGGCTCGACCTACTGCTAATAAATCGTGTAAACCTCTGGAAAGCTATACCACCGTAACGGACGCCCCCATCATAACCGAAACTCTTTACCTCCGTCAAAAGAGATCCCTAGTGTTTTGACAAGACACTCGTGGCTACGACATTATTACTAGGGACGAAAGACAGTATCTTCAACAGCAAGTCATCTGGTAACTCACTGATTGTCCGAATCTCACTATCCATACCTTTTTTTTTACGCAGAACCTAGCGGTGAAAAAAGTTTACCTTTCAAGCATAGACGCATCCAAAATTGATCGTCGTCACATCTTCTTGAATTCAAATGAACTTCCCTTGAATTACATGGCTATATAAAGCCAAAGAGGTTGCACAAAATCTGGGATACATAATTACAAGATATTAACAAGAATATCCAAACTAATTGGAACTGAATATTCATATATTCAATCAACATAGGAATATCAGATCACTTCTACTTCTCTACCGGATTTTTGGTAGAGAAGGCAGATCATTTCTGGCCTATGAGGATAGTAGAGAGCAAAATGAGTAACACAGGTGGAAACAGTAGCAAAGGTGGAGAATTTTTCAAAAGCCTCTGTCTCAGAGAGAAGGTTCGACTTAGAAAAATAAGGGAAAGATAAAGCTCCAATTATGAAGGTTCAGGTTTTGCCTCATAACGAAGGATTTGAGCCGATTTGATTTAGTAAAACCGGTTCAAGGCTTTCAAACAAATTCAAATTAAATTTGAAAAATACATAAAAGCAAAAAAAAAAAATTATAAATTATAAATTTAAATCAAAAACATATTTATATAGTTTTATCAAATCTATTTCACGTTAAAAATAAAAATTTGATCTTAATAAATTTAAATCAAAAACATATTTATATAGTTTTATCAAATCTATTTCATGTTAAGAGCAAAAATTTAATCTTAATAAATTTAAATAACTTTTAATATTAAATAACAATAAATTTTAAAAAACACTTTATATAGATACGAATATAAATCTAATTTACTCAGAGATTTATATAGATACATACGACTAGAAAATTATAATTTTCGATTAATTGAAAAAGATTAAATTATTATTTTAAATAAAAATAATTCTTTAGTAAAAAAATTTAAATAATCTATAGTATATAAATTGCAAGGCTTTTTGGATAAGTCCATACTCGGTCGGACTTAAACCCAAAAATCTACAAACTCGAATTCGTATTATCCGAAATATCTAAAATTTTTAGGATTTATGTACCAAAACTCAAATCTGATATTTTTTATGAATGGACCTGACTATATGTTTTAGCCCTTAAGCATAATCAATAAATATAAATTACTTAATAAACATAAAGCCTAATTAATAAATCCAATTCCAAATCTAAATATCAGACTTTTGACACTTAATCAAAGTTTAAAAGCTTATCTTGCTTATCAAACTATCCATTTTAACATTTCATTTCTCATTCACAACAATTCCAATTTTGATATGTGATTACATTACTTTATATTGCTTATGGCTACGATAATATTATGTCAACATCCAATTATTTAATATCCCTAGTAAGTAACCCACAGAGAGACGTATGGACTGAACCAGTTCTTCAGCCATCCTTACAATGAGTACCTTTATTCTTTCAGAGATTTGAAACAATCTTGATTGCAGATGTCTCACCCTTTGAAAAGATTTGAGAGATGGGCTTAAGCGACGTTACATCATAATAGTATCCACCCAAATAAAATTAGTTCAATTATTGCTTCAAAATAACTGTGAGAAATTAAAACTTTTTTACCGGCCATTTTGAATACCAAGATTGAGAAGTAGATATGTTCATACTTTCACTTTGTATCATCATTATTTATACTGCTATATTTCGTACAACTTATGTAGCAAAACTCAATCCTACTTTCATTTTGTCATCTTTGAGATGAAAAAATGAATATAACATAGACAGCCTAAGCATCCTACAATATTATTCAGCGTTTGATCACAAGAAACTTGGAAAGATACAACATTCCCCACTTTCTGTTGGAATGGAGCGTGCTTTTGACAATCTTTGCAAAAACAAGCTCAACAAAAGGAAACCATAGAAATTTCAACAATTAAAAAGAGGTTCGAAATAAACGCTTTTATACTCTTCATAATTGAATTTCTTATCCAAAACTCAAAATGTCAAGTTGAAGAATCTCATAAATCAGCTTAATCGTACTATCAACAAATTAGACCAGGAAATGGAGCTATATCTCCAGTTTTCGGATTCACTATTCATGCTTGAAAAAACATCTTCAAAACTCAAATTCCATGTGAAATCAAGGATAAATATGCATAGCAAACAACTCTTTTAAGAAATTCTACCCAAGAATTTAGCTAGTATCGCACAAAGACATAGTACATAGTAGCTCGAGATCTGCAAAATCCTAATTACCCATTACCTCAACTGGAAACAACCATGAGAATTAGAGATATATCTTAGGGCAACCATGTCATAAAATTTTTTAGTTTAAATTCTTTTAAAACACAAATAACATTAACATTCAATATAAAAACTAAAAAGCAGAAAACATTAAAAATAATTGTAATACACAAATTAACATTAATATTTAATATATAAATAACAAAGATTAAAAGATATTTATAATGTATTGTCAAAAAATAAAAAACCAACAAAAACAAACAAAAATAATGATATACATTAGGTCTGAGTATTTGAAAATTCAAGACATAAATGTATAAGTGTGTGATTGGAATTGATAATTAGAGAAATGATAAATAATTTTCAAAGAACATCCAATAAAAACAGAATATGAAATTTGGGTAACGGTCCGATTTGAGAAATTGAATTATTTAGAATATATTCACAAACTCTCAATAATTTGGATGAAAGTAGACTTCAAAACAAATATTTTGGGAAAATTTAAGAAATCGAAGAAAATTTACATATATAAAATAAGTTTTTCTCTTTTATAGTGTTGTCACCTCAGCAACTATATCATTAATTATTTTTTATTTAAATTCTATTAAAATACAAATCAACATTAACATCTATAAAAAAATAACAAACATTAGACAACAGTTATAATACACAAATTAACATTCAATATAAAAAATATAGTAAAGATTAAATGATATTTATAATGTGTTGTTAGAAAATAAAAATTCAACAAAAAAACTGAAAATAATGATATACATTAACTCTGAGTATTTCAAAATTCAAGATGAAAATTTATGAGTGTGATGGGAATTGATAATTAAAAAGACGAAAATAATTCTCACAGAAAATCTAATAAAAATGGAACAAGAAAAACTGATAACGAGTCATGTTCAAGAAAATTGCATTATCTAATATATATTCACAAACTCTCAATAAATTGGATAAAACTCAACTTCAAAATAAATATTTTGAAAAAATTCTGAAAATAGAGGAAATTTTTTAAAAATATATATATAATTTTTAAAAAAATTCTTAAATGGATAATTCGAATATATAACATCATATATGCTCTTTTCATATTTGTTTGAATAAACAAAATAATCTCAAATGGATATTATTTGATCAAAATTGTAATAAGATGAGAAATTTAAGATGGATATGATGAGAAAAAGAAAAAAAATCACAAAAATACTATAAATATATAAAACCTCTCGGGGATTGAACTTACAACAAACATTTTAATCAATTGAATGCCCAAAAAAATGCCACCAAGATGACAATTTGACAGTTAATTGCATATATTCTCTAAGCGTAACTTCTGCATTCTTGAGGAGCCTTTGGATATCGCGTTCTATCAGAGCAATAGTCGTAAGCAAGGTGAAGCTTCTTTGCATTCATGTACAGTTTCTTCTCTCTAGAGCTTAGCTGCCAATTCTCTTTGCGGTTCCACCAGAACTTAGGATCAGCGCAATTCTTTAAGTACATGAACGTGGTTTCACACGCTTCGATCTTTGGTGCCTGGAACTTAGCTATGTAAGGCATCTGCTTAGGGTCAATTACAGATCCGTTTTGCACACTCCCACGTAGGAGCATCGTCTGCTTCGTTGGGTAGTAAGTGTCTGGATTCTTCCTATACACACGGATTGGTGTATCGTCTACATAAAACCTGAAATTTTTTAAAAGTATTTTTGTTGGTTACTGATGATAATCAATGAGTTAGGTCATGACCTGATCAAAAGTGTTATATGAATACTCACACAAGCTGGTGTGGGTTCCAAAGAAACCTATAGGAATGATAATCTTTGGTTGGATCAAACCAAAGACGAAACCTCTGATCTTTGCCTCCTTCGCCGAGCAGCAACATATTTGTATTCAGCAGATACGTTGTGCCATTTCCCAGAATCTGGAAACAGAGCCCGTCACGGCGGCTTGATAGGGAGATTAACTGCCATATTGCATTCAAGATCAAAACATATTTAAAAAAAAAGCTCTCCCAGTTACGTAACATCTTTATTTCAGACAAAGCATAATCAGTTAAGTAAAAATGTCATTGATACTTACGTCGAAGGAAGTAATAACTCCCGTAGACTTGGTTTTGGGTGCCTTAATTCTCATGTTGAAAGATCCTGATCCGTACATCAAATAGGATTCAAACTCGGACCCTGTTAAGGAACATGAAACCAATCATAAGCATCATATACACACGAACACAAGTTCATAACCACATATAGAGACAAACACAATCACACACACAAGCACATACAGACAGAGAGAAAGAGAGATGTAGAGAGAGAGAGAGAGAGAGAGAGAGAGAGAGAGAGAGAGAGAGAGAGAGAGAGAGAGAGAGAGAGAGAGAGGGAAACCAGAGTTATGATCGAGGGTGAGGTCGAGCTCAGAGGTTTCCTTAAGAACCAAAGCTTTATGTCCCCAAGTTAAGTAGAAATTGTCGTTCCATGTCACGAACCCACCAGGGTCTTCACCTCGAGCCGCGGCTACAACCACCATAACAATCAGAAGAAGAATCTTCTGATCAGATCCTCTCATCTTCATATGATCTCTCTCTATCTCTAAGCTTCTACAGCTCACTTCACTTAAACACAGTACAACACGACTCTCTTTGGCTTATGTTTATATACACGTTATAGAGCAGCCACGTACGTTATGTTTTTTTTGTTTCACCCAATGGATCTCTATCCATTGCATCATCATAAATCCATATCGATTAATTAAAATGTTTGTAAGTTTAATCCCCTAGAGGTTTTTGAGCTGTTTGCGATTAACTTTGTATTTTTAACGTGTTGAAAACTGTCTCCAGCTCGTTTTATACGCATCAAGCCAGTGCATAGCAAAAGCTACTATTTCCCGATTCAGTTTTGTTTAGCTTATATAGTACTTACCTATACATTACAAACAACTCTATTTTTCTTTGATTAGTAATCAATGTTTGGGTTACACTTGTTAACTTTTTAAAACGTTTCTATCCATTGCATCATCATTATAATCCATATCAATTAATTAAAATGGTTGTAAGTTCAATCACCCAGAGGTTTTTGAGCTGTTTGCGATTAACTTTTTCTTTTTTAATGTGGTAAAGGCTGTCGTCGTAGCAAATAAAACGATCCCATCATTCTCCTTCCATAGGGCTGAGAAACTTTACAATACTTTTATTTATTGAAATATTTACAATAAATCACGTGAACTATTTTTATATCACGATACCATATAATATCTAATGACGTAGCAGACCACGAAACGGGTGAAGCTAACTGGAATCGAAATCTTTTGGATTTTCTTTTCTTACGAAAGTCTAGAGAAAGAGAAAATTGGATAGTGCGGGTTTAAAAATTATTATCGCAGAACAACTAAAAGTGCTAGATAAACAGAAGTCAGAAGTAAATAATTTAGTTAACTAGTGTAATATAATTAAATGCAGTACATTATAATTTATAAGTATACATGACTAAGTCGTTAATTATCGTTCTAAGGATAGACAAGTACGTACTAAACGTTGACGCAAATATTACTTGCACTTCTTTATACCATAGTAGTGTGGGTGCATGCCACGGTGGTACACAGTTAATTCGTAATGTTAAATTTGTTTTTAAAATAATAATTTACTGTTATAAGAAAAATGGGTACTTTATTTCTAGAGTGATTAGTCCTACAAATAATAAGATGCTCTATAGTAATAAAATCTTTTCTGTTCATATTACATCATGATTATTTAACTAGCTTCTTCCAAAAAATAAAATACTTTTTTCAATCTTAGAAACTCTGCTAAATGTGGAGGAAATAATATGTTGAGAAAACAATCAATATTTTTTTAAAAAAATTCTGATCAAACATGCCATCGCTCAAAACAGAGTTTCTAGTTATAAATGGAGAGGAGAAAGGCTCATGTACACTATATTGGAGTGAGACCAAAAATGATAAATCATAGTATAAGTACACTATATTGGAGTGAGACCAAAAAAAGAAGATCTAATTTATTTATCGTATTCCTAGTAATCCAACAAATGATAACAGGAAACAAACCCTAACATAGAAAAAAAATGTGTAGAACGAAAAAACTCTCCCAATAGCTAAACATACAACTAAAAAAATATAATGAAACTTTACGTTAGTATAGCATTTCTACATGTGTCACCGCCTCCTCGTAGGACCCAACATTGGTTCATTGGGCTCTTTGGCTCAATTATAAAAGTTTGGGCCCGAAAAGCTGCCGCGTCTTTGGGGTTGTTGATATTTAAAACAAATTAATCATAAATTTAATTTTGTCACAAATCGTAGCAAATTTTATATAAAAACTTACAAATCAGTTACAAAGATTTCTGTTGCTAACTTTGTATTTTTTAATATTTTTGAAACAGTACTTTATCGCAAAGCATAACAAATTAGATACAAAAAAATAACAAAATTGCTACAAATTATTACATTTTTTATACTGTCACAAATTTGTCACTAATTATAACAAATTTGTGAGATGCCTAAGGTTTAGCTTGAGGCTTAGGCTCTCTAGGCTCGACCTACTGCTAATAAATCGTGTAAACCTCTGGAAAGCTATACCAACGGCGACACCACCGTAACGGGCGCCCCCATCATAACTGAAACTCTTTACCTCCTTCAAAAGAGATTCCCACTGTTTTGGCAAGACACTTCGTGGCTACGACATCATTACTATGGAGGAAAGACAGTATCTTCAACAGCAAGTCATCTGGTAACTCACTGATTGTCCGAATCTCACTATTCATACCTTCCAGATACGCAGAACCAAGCGGTGATCATTTTTGGCCTATGAGGATAGTAGAGAGCAAAATGAGTACGTTGGTGGAAACGGTAGCAAATGTGGAGAATATTCCAGAAGCCTCTGTCTCAGAGAGAAGGTTTGACTTAAATAAGGGAAAGATAAAGCCTCAATTGTGTGCAGAAGGTTCAGGTTTTGCCTCATAACGAAGGATTTGAGCCGGTTTGATTTAGTAAAGCCGGTTCAGGATTTCTGACCATGAAGATGATGTCGATCATGCGGATTAATTAAATATAGTTTGTAGAATCAAGCGGTCTTGTTCGTCTGTTGATGGTTGATCCAATTAATATCCATTCTTCCATTCAAACCGAAGGTCTTGAAACCGTGTGAGAACAGAAAAAAAAAATGAAATTACATGACATACCATCCTTCACTCAAGTATGACCAAACCAAACAGATTGTAAATATCTGGTTTAGGTTGGTTTAATTATGATTGTGTTATCGAGTGGTTTAGGCTAGGTTTAGTGTTGGTTTACAATCGATTCATCTTGAATCTGAAAATAGGGGCAGGTGAAAAACAAATGATCTCTAGCGCATTCATTATTGAATCAGTCGCATTTTCTAAAGTTTGTATATATCTTCAAAGAGGCAGATCATTTCCAGCTTATTCTGTAAACAAGCCATTCAGTTTTGTTCTGGATCGTAATCTTTTAGAAAACCAAATCATCTATATTATTATTCTCATTTCTCAGTTTAGTTATCATTATATTTTTCCTTAGTTTTTACAAGAAAATGTTGACGTTAATTTTGTAAGAGAATATTATTTTCTCTGTGTTTATTTGATTGAGGATTTACAGAAATATGGGATCAATCACATAATTATGGATTGATTGTAGATTCCTAAATTGCTTGCGTTATCAAATTTGTGGTTAATTCGTTTTTTTAATGTATTTTTCCATTTGATTTGAATTTAAAGAAATATCTCTTTATATTAATTAAGTAACATTTTACATTGATTTATAGTGTAATTTTGTTTTTCTTTGTTTTTGTTTTTTTCTTTAACACTGATCATGAGATAATTGAGGTATGTACAGTATGTTCTTGCTCTTGAACTCAAGAAAGAGAATAGTAAAAAAAGCAAAATATCTACCAGAGTCGTACTGTACATTTCAATCATTTTTTTTACAAGAAAAAAAACGAATAATCTATAGAATGTAAACTTGAGTAATAGAAGAAAGTTAGAAATTGTAACAGAAGAAAAAGAAATCGATGGCCACAATGTAAACATGTAACACTGCAAATATATGACAGAATCATTGAAATATCATTAAAATATGGTAAAATAGAGAGCTATAAATTGGAGAGTCGCATCATCGATATGCTATTCTACAATTCATTCAAATAAACAAAACAACAACAAAAAACCCCTAAAAAAGAACATAGTAACATGATAATAGTTACGCAGGAGGATAAATATCAGCACAACATTCTGGACAACATTGTGCAATTCGTTTGGGGCAATTACACAGGTACGAGGCGATAGCCAAGACGATGACTACCACTGTAATTGAGATCGCTGCGATATAACCATTCTGCAACATTTTCTTCACCACACCAAGGATTCTTCTTTCTAACCCTCCTTTCGTGTCTTCTCCACTACATTGCATATATATATAGGATATAAATAGTCACAAAAGTTTACCTTTTTTTTTCATAAAATCGGGGAAATTTGGAATATATTGATTTTGTCATTATTGAATATTAACTAGCTAGGATAAAAATGGAAACTTTACATTTTATTAACTAGGAAAGATTGGAAACTATACACTTAATTTGTTGATTGTCACGCCATCATTTATGTACACATGCATGAACATTAACTAGGAAAGATTGGAAATTATACACTTTGTTGATTGTCATGCCATCATTTATGTATACATGCATGTCAATTAATATTAATCTGCATGTGTACATTTTGTCATGACATATTAACAGGTTCTTTCAATATATAAATGTAAAATTAGAAAATATGTAAACTTCGACAAAAATGTTAAAAATATATGTAGTAAGAAGATAGAAAAATGTTAAATTCTTTAGAAGAAAATAAGTAAATCCTAACAATAGAAAAAAAAGGAAAAAAAAAGAAGAAAAGCTTATGTGATCGATATATATATAAACAAAAGAGTGAATGAGCTTTGTTTCTCAATCAATTTCATTTTCTTTGGCAGATTAAAAGTAATCGAATATGGATACACGATTGAGTTCAGCTCCATATGATATGTGGGTTATAAAAAGAGGTTAACATATGATGATACTATTGTTTATCTTCTTCTACCGCAAACCCAATTCGAAACCTCTATAATTCCGGAGATGGAAGGTGCTATGGTCCAGCAAATTAGATTGGGAAAGAAAGTTGAAGTGAAGATCCATATCGTAGAGGAAGGTCCTAAAGCTCCTGATTACACAGTAACGCTAATACAATATTATGGCTTATACATGTTTACGGAAGGATGGATTGATCTCATTAGAAAAAAAGGTTACAAGACAGGTACTGAAATTGGACTCATGTGGGATAGATCCACAAGAAGATTCTTGTTCCACCGTATCAAAAGTTATTAAAAAAAAACATAGAAATTTGATTTTTGTAACACCGAAACTCTTAAGAAGAAACAATATCAAAAAGAATATTTATTCATCTTCTTCACTATATCAATGTTTTAGATTTCTGGTTTTATTTAGGGGTTTTAATTTACTAGAATATTTATATTTTTATGTGGGGTTTTTTTTTTATTTTATATGGGTTTTATGAGTCTTATATTTACAAAACATAGAAATTTGATCAAATTGTAGATATTCTAGTAACGTAAAACATCTCAATTGAGTTTTATCTACAATTTGATCAATCTTGTTCTCGTAACGTAAAACATAGAAATTTTCCTTCTCTTTAAAAAAATCGAATGGACAATGAATGAAAGATTAGTTTGTTGCAGACACAAAATTTATAATTTGATAAGACTTTTTTTTTTGTAAATTCAGAAATCTATTATAACTTCACCATGAACCTCTATGGGGTTTTCTAAATTTTCACCCTCAAATTCAATTTTTCGAAATTCGATGAAGTTAGTTCTCTTTGCTCAATTGAGATGTTTTACGTTACGAGAACAAGAAAGCGAAGGACCCCATTGGGCTACGGTTATTACTTCATTGGGCTCTTTGGTTCAGTTGTAAAAGTTTGGGCCGAGAAAGAGGAAAATCAAACTGTAACAAGTCAGTGAGGGTATTCCCGGTATTTTTGATCTAATGCAGATCCTCAAACTCGAATCTGTACCGTTAATTATCAACTAATCCAACGGTGAAAAACAGTGATCCGCGTACTTTCTTCCTATTGGTTTACTAGTGTTCCACGGAATCTCGAACAGTATATATATAAAATCCGGAGAAGGTCAACAACAATCAATTCGTATATTTTTCCCTCTCATCTTTCAACAGAGTAAATCAAAACAGATTTCAATGGCGGGTCGTGGCAAAACTCTCGGATCTGGGGCCGTGAAGAAGGCAACAACGAGGAGTAGCAAAGCCGGTCTTCAATTTCCGGTGGGTCGTATCGCTCGTTTTCTGAAGAAAGGCAAGTACGCCGAACGTGTTGGTGCCGGAGCGCCGGTGTACTTAGCCGCCGTTCTCGAATACCTAGCCGCCGAGGTAAATTATCTATTTTATTGCCCTCCTTGTTGATTTTCGATCTGGTAGTTAGAATTTTGTAACCCTAATTTTGATTTGTGGAAATTGAAAATTAGGTTTTGGAATTGGCTGGAAACGCGGCGAGGGACAACAAGAAGACTAGGATTGTTCCGAGGCACATTCAACTCGCGGTGAGGAACGACGAGGAATTGAGCAAATTGCTCGGCGATGTGACCATTGCTAGTGGAGGTGTGATGCCGAACATCCACAATCTTCTTCTTCCCAAGAAGACCGGTGCTTCATCGAAACCATCTGGTGACGACGATTAGTCAACCAATTTCTATTCCTAAGATGTTCTTTTGTTTTTGAGGCTTTTGTAGATTTAGATTAGTTTTTTCTTTTTCTTTTCGTCATCACGATTTGTGAACAATCTCTTTCCTTGACGTTTCAATTTGATGTTCATATCTCTCATATTTTGGATGAAATCAAAATTTCAGACGATTCTTTTCTTCAATTTCTCCAGAATTGTGAAATCTTCATGCTTTAAATCACAGCAGATTTGGGTTTTTTCATTTGAATGAAACTCTTTCAATTGAAAATTCAAAAGATTCTTTCTTCAAAAAAAATTCTAGGGTTCCGACTAAGTTTAATTGAGGATTGTAAATTCTCATGTTCTAAACCTCAGTAGATCTGTGATTTTAAATTGGTTTTGTTTTGAATGACGAAGGTTTGCGTAAGATATCATTTTTAAACACTGAAAAGCCTAATATCAATGACATCACAAGAGGTGTATAATTGAGCAACTACGACATTATAATATAAGGATTTGAAGGATTGACAATGATTGGTGGGCCATTAGTGTACGACATCCATGAAAATGAGAGATTGAAAATATACTAATAGAAACCGATTAAGAAAGAAAGAGAGAGAGTCTCTACCACCACCATATCTCTTCTTTTCTTCCCTTTTTCCACACATTGTCTATTCAGATTCGACCCTTTTTCCAGAAATTTCCGAAACTTTGCAGCCGCCGCGTCTTTTGGGGTTATTGGTGCTGGTGAGAATTAGAAGAATGGTGTCTCCGGAGAACACGAACTGGCTCAGTGATTACCCTTTGATCGATGGTGTTTTCTCTGATCAGAACCCTTCTTTTCCATGGCAGATTGACCAAATCGATGGCTCTGCTAGTGTCAGGTATCTTTTGAATCATGTGTGATTAGTTCTTTGTTTTCGTCAGATTAAAGGTTCTTTTTTTTTTGTTTCTCGGCTTTAGACTTTTGGTGCTTTAGGGCTTGTAGTAGTATCTGGTGGACTTTTTGTTTTCTGTATGATCTTGTTCTGATTGAAATTGGAGTCTTGCATAAATGAAGGTTTTCTTTCCCTCTGTTTTTGTCTTCATTCCTCTGTTTCTTCCTTATGTAGTAGACGAATCTAGATCTCTACTTTCTACTCTAGACTCCCTACAAATTGGGATAGGAAAGGTTCTGGGACATGTGTGATGTCGTCTTCTATCTACGAATGGGCTCTAATTTTTCTTTATTGACCTTTCCTTTTATGTTTATGTGATTTGTGTCACAGTGTTGAAGTTGATGGCTTCCTTTGTGATTCAGATGTGATCAAAGAACCAGGCTCAAGGAAAAGGTATCAAATGGTATTTGACCAAACTTGCTTTCAGTATAGAATGTTTCTGAACCTGTAAATTTTTTTGTTTTATCCCAAAATTGACTCAGGATCAAGTCTGAATCTTGCGCTGGTGCTACTAGCTCGAAAGCCTGTAGGGAGAAACAAAGACGTGATAGACTAAATGACAAGTATTTTCTTTGCGTTTCTCTTGGCTCTCTTCAATCTCTTCTCTTTTTGAGTTCTTAATCTTTTTGGTATCGTGTGCTTTCACAATAGGTTTACGGAACTGAGTTCCATATTGGAACCTGGGAGACTTCCAAAAACAGACAAGGTTGCTATTATCAATGACGCAATTCGCATGGTGAATCAAGTCAGAGACGAAGCACAGAAATTGAAGGACTTGAATTCAAGCCTCCAGGAGAAAATCAAGGAGCTGAAGGTAAAATTCCGGTACTGTAGCCTTTGCAAGATCTTTAGAATCTCCATTGATCTTATATATGCCAATATGTAGGATGAGAAGAACGAGCTGCGTGATGAGAAACAGAAGCTGAAGGCTGAGAAGGAGAGAATCGAGCAGCAACTGAAAGCGATTAAGACACAGCCTCAGCCTCAACCTTGTTTCTTACCGAACCCATCAACACTGTCTCAAGCTCAAGCCCCTGGAAGCAAGCTTGTCCCTTTCCCAACTTACCCGGGCTTTGCAATGTGGCAGTTCATGCCTCCTGCTGCAGTTGATACCTCACAGGACCATGTCCTTCGTCCTCCGGTTGCTTAAGAAGCTGCCTCTCTCTCTCTCTACTTATTTGACGGTTCACGTTTCTTCTTACTCGCTTTTTTTTTTTATTCTGATGTAATGATTCTCACATTGTTGTGATTGGTAGACACAATCCTATGCAACTTTAATTGAAACTGTGATTATCATGCGGCTATTTGCATGTAAATGGAAATAAGCATTCGCTAAAAAAAGACTGTTTTTACACAAATCAATCTCAAACTGTGCATAAAGTTGAAAACTTTGGAAATCATTGACTTTGCAGATTCTGGATTAGATTATGTAAATGCGTAGGAGTAAGTTTTCTGGAAATTGATTGATTGATTCTGATTATGAATAAAAAAACTTACAAAGTAATTGTCTTTTTTCGCTTTTAGTGAATCTGTGAAATGTAAACTCTCAAATCATTGAATCCCTCTCTTGTTCATCACTTTCTTCAACAGACTCTCACGTCCTGGGAAAGGGCTATGAATCTTTGGCTCAAGTTGCTTCTCTATATCTTCTAATTTCCCCAAAACACCCTTCTGCACGCTCCTATTCACCGTTTTGCCATCATTCCCTAGACTCTGCCTCATCCTTTCTCTCCTCTCTCTTCTCCTCCATCCATTACCATCTTCCTCTTCCTTCTCCTTCTTCTTAATCTCTCTTCTTCTTACCATCTCTCCTCTCTCTTCTTCTTCTTCTTCTCTAGTGTTCCTTAACCTAGGAATCCGACCACCTTTGCTTGTCCCCAAAAGCTGGAAATTGATTTTGCTCCAACCAATCTTGTCTTCATTATCCCAACCGAATCTCACACTAATCTCCAACAACATCGAAACAGAGTTTGCCTCTTCTCTGTTCTTCTTGACAGAGGTCAAAGCCCTCATGCTCTCATCACTCCCATGGAGGATCTTCTCTGCGAATTCCCACTCAGTCCTATCTTTATAAACATCGTCGTCGAGCACTTCGTCCGCAAGCTTTGCCCAATACTCAGAATCTCCTGCTCGCAGATTCTTCGAGACCCATTTGAGGTAAGAGGAAGGCAAAGTACCGAGCATTTTGCCTTTGTGCTTGCCGAAATCTATGATTATGTCTCTGGCGGCTAGGGTTTCGATCTTGATTAAGGGTTTAGGTTGATTAGTAGGGAAGATGCGATTAGATGAAGAAAGACTTCTTCTTGGTCTGAAAGATGATGATGATGATGATGAGATTTTGAAGATGGTAATGGGTAACGTTGGTGTTGCAGAGTGAGGATTGTGGAACAAGACCATCGAGAAACTCATTATTGTGCCTCTCTCCAATAATAAAAATTATTTACACTCTTTTTCTTATAAACCTTATCAAATACTCTGTATTCTGCTATTGTATTTAATAAAAAAATTAATAATTTATTTTCCTTTAAACTCATTATTGTTGAGTCTCCCCAATAATAAAAATGATCTACACTGTTTCTTATGAAACTTTATCAAATACTCATATTCTGCTATTTAATAAAAAAAAATATTTTATTATCCATAAAAATGAAAAGAAGCAAAAAATTGTAGTTGCAACAAAGAATGGTTTGAGAATATTTTATTGTGCCTCTCCAATAATAAAAATTATTTACACTCTTTTTTCTTATAAACCTGATCAAATACTCTGTATTCTGCTATTGTATTTAATAAAAAATTAATAATTTATTTTCCTTTAGAAAAAAAGGCAAACAAAAAAAAAGCAAAATTTCTAGTTGCAAAACAAAGAAAGATGGTTTGAGAATAAAAGCGTAATCAAATATTAAACTTGTAAATTCTGCTTCTTTATCTTTGACTTCAAGAAACCGGCACCAAAGAAGGTTTCAACTTTCAAGAATAAAAGCACCAAAATCAAAAAAACTATAACCAAACAAGAAGCCAAAACGTAATCAAGAAGACGTCTTCTCTTTGACTTCAAGAAACCGGCACCATATTAGGGAAATAGGTGCAATGCAAAGGCCAAAGGTCAACCACAGAATCTATTCGGCTTTTGCTGATCAACTTGTTTCCCCCAACAACATAGATCCAAGCACGACCATTTTCATCGCAAGAACACACGACAAGCCTTTTATCGTCGATGAAGTAACTTGGCTGATTGTATAAGGGTACAAAACTCGGTAAGTTCACAGCTGAAAAAGCCACAAGATTCATCCAAACCACATCATTACCATCCTCAGAGTTAATCTTGTTCTTGGTCACCCAAACCTCAGTCTTCTTGGTTACGTGACACACTGGCACTGCTTTAACAACGAAAACCGATCTCCTTTATAAACCCTAAGAACAAGAGCACTGCGTTGATGGCTCTTCCCACACGGTAGATCACAAAACCTAAAGAACCCTTCCCTCGAAAAATCGAACTTCATTATGTGGTACAAGGGATCAGTGTCCTCCTTGTAAGCAACCCAATACAAAGCTCCATTCAACGATACACCACATTTGGAATGTTTTATAGGACGGTTTCTATAACTAGGCTCCCGTTCGACGTCTTTCCACGCATCGGAGGCAAAGTCATGGATCTTCCACTCGGTAGGTTCAAATCCATTCAGACAAGACCAAATGGTCTTGTAATCATAACATATGCCATTCACTTTAAGTCTAGGTGTCGTAACCTTGGCCTTGATCCAACTAGTACGATTCAACCAGGGGTTCCAAACAACGGCTCCTTCATCCATGCTACATAGCAAGAACTCATCGCAATCAACCAAGTCACTAGGACTTTGAGATTCTAAACCGGGAACATCCAAGGTTAACTCATGGACCACAAGTTTGGGATCGATGCTTACCGTGTAAATCTTGGATACGGCCGTCAAGATGAACAGAAACGTCGACTTGTGGTTGTTGATGAACGTCTTATCATTGAAGAGAGCGTTCATTGTTTCGATACGATTCTGAAGCGAGCAAGAGATCTAGGAGGGACACGAGAGAGTATCTCTTCAATCAACTCCCATGGAAGCTTCTCCACATACCTTATCATTTTTTTTCGTAATTAGGGTTTCAACTGAATTTGTTACGTAAAATATATCTCCAAAGTGAGATTTTACAAAACAGAAGAAGAGAAAAGTAAATTGACAAAAAAAAATAGAAGAGATAAGTTTGTTAAGATATTCTATCACACCTGATCATAGTTGATGAGTATGACACGTGTCTTTTCTGTTCTTTTTTAAAAAATTTGATGTTAAGAAAGAAAAAAAACATAATTTGCAAACAATGAGATCTTTTCTTGAATGTTTTTCTGTTCCATATTTGTGGAGGTGTGGGCCAATTTTGGTATTAGTGATTGTAAATATGTAAGAATGTTTAAAGGGCGATGGATACTTTTTTTTTTGAACAAATTCACTTCATAATCATTGATCAGGGTCGACATTATTTCCTACATCCGCAATTAACCAAATCAGAAACATAAGTACTAATAAAAGAAAACAACGGTTAGGAAAGTTGGTTTAATTAGTTTTCTTCGATCTACTCTAGCTCGTAGATTAATTCGAACTGAGTGTGCTGTGTCTTAATAATCATCACGAATAAGTACGACTTCTCAAACATAACTTATAATTCACCATACTCCTCCCATCAACCCTAGCTTTAAGCTTTTACGGTTTATCTCTTTGTATATGTATTTTTTATTTTAAAAATTCAAAATTTTGTTATCATTATCTAACTTGGATGAATTCCCTTCTCTTTTTAAAGTTTCAGGCCAGATATTTGGATTCTATCAATATGTAGTCATCCTTTTTTTTTCTTGTTTGATAAATGGTTCCTTTATTTTTATTTCTCACTTGTGTTGTTGTTGTTGGTAGATTCTTAATGGAAACATCAAATTCAAACAGTCCTCTTACAACCATTTCATCTATGTCGGCATTATATTTCGCACCATAGAATTATTGTGATATATATATACGAATATTGGACCACTGCAAGTACTTGAAGTGGTCGTGTACTCTAAAATGTGAGAGCCCATTTTGGTAATTATCACTACTGCTTTGTGTATGTCGGCTTCTATCCTAAACGACGATACGAAATGTGCTTTCAGAAACTTCGAAATTTAATTAGATGCAAAAGGACAGTCATCAAATTTTAGATATTTTGATACAACAGAGAAAGAAATGAACTTTATCTCTTTCTTTTTTTTTCTTTTTCCATTGAACCTCTCTCTGTTTTCCTTCCTATATATAGTGTTTATATAATAACTCATTCAAGAAAAAAATTATTCAAGAAACACACATAAAACTAAACTTTTGTTCTTGTACTTGTTTTTGTGACTCGAGAGTCCTAAGCTATGGCTGAGAAGGTGCTTTATCCTAAATTCTTTTTTCGGATCTGGTTCTAATATCGATTCTCTTTTTAATATATAGCTAAGTCAGGTTACTATTAATAGTAACTAAATAATATAATAATGATCAAATTATATGATGCTTTAACAGGTAACGATGATGAAGTTGAAGGTAGATCTAGACTGTTCCAAATGCTACAAAAAGGTCAAGAAAGCTCTCCGCAAATTTCCTCGTGAGTTTCTTTCTCTCACTCACCTTTGATTTTATTTTTTCTGCACATTTGAATTATTGAGGTTGAAAAAACTATGAAACTTGACGAGTAGATACGATCTTTTTGTTTGTGTTATCTTCCCAAAAAATCAAAAAGAAATCACAGACGAACTGTTTGATGAGAAGTCCAACACAATCATCATCAAGGTTGTTTGTTACAATCCTGAGAAGCTCATGAACAAACTCTGCTACAAAGCAGACGGCTCTATTAAGTCCATCGTGATCCTCGAACCACCTAAACCACCTCAAGCCCAGGCCCAAGCTTCACAGAAGCCCAAAGAGCCCGAGAAGCTTCCAGCTCCAGCTCCAGCTCCGGCTCCAGCCCCGGCTCCGACTCCTCAACTGGTGCCGATGTGGCAGCCGTATCATTGTGGGCCGTACTACGAGGCCCAACAGTATGAGTGTTACGGAAGGCCCATTTACGATAGCTGGGGAGGTGGGCGACAATGTTGCCATGAAGTCGCGAACCAACAAAGCTGCTCCATCATGTGAAATACTGAACTCCCTATATATTATAGACTATATTCGGTAGATACGAACAAATAAATAGACGAAGTTATTTTTAATTTTCTTCGTCGTCTTATAGCTAAATATTTCTCTTTCGAGGCATATCATCTATAATATATGTACACACTATAGGGTTTTGTTTCTTTTTTATATTTAGTTTTGGTTAAACCTATGATATATAAGTATATATAACTCTAATCTTTTGATTTGCTCTTTTTTCGTTCTTGGTAGGAATACAAATAGAATAATAGAGACATGTCACGCTATATTACATTCTGTTACCAACAAAAAGAAAACAACAATACTTGTCTTAACGCAATAGTTGTCGAAATTAGATTATAGTACTAGTCCACTAAAAAAATTATGGTCTATTGGCTTTCTTTCTCGTATATTCAATTTTAAAAACAAGTGCCAAACAAGTTATTCATCATACTTAAATGATATGTAATGGAAAGAAAACACTACAAAAGTTCTAATTACAAAAAATATGTTTATTACAACATTAAACGATTCAAATTCATAAGATTGATAAGCCATTCATCAAATACATCAAAGAGTAACAGCAACAGCATGTACTAAACGATCGTCCTGGTTGGTTACAAGCACAACATCGCACCACTTGATCGTCCCCCAAATCTCTTTTTCTTGCCTTCTTTCAAGAGAAATTTCTGCACAGCATATTGATTTCTTTGCATGGTGATTGAGAGTCGTACACTCCTCCCATATAACCACCATGTTTCTACCATAACCCACAATTTTTAGTGTCATCCTACGGTTCCTACCCCAGCGATAAGGAAGAGGCATAAAACGCCAAGGCAATCCTTTCACATCTCTCCAGCGTTTATCACTGGAGTCATACCAATTCATCATCATAGAACCGTAACAGTACAACACGTTATCTATCACACAAGAAGGTGAGGATGCCAAACTTGAATCTAATGCTAAGTCTGTCTTTCTCCATTTACCTTTGTGCAGCTTGAAATTCCCCTTCTCACGCCCAAAATGCACATGGATGGTTCCTTCGTATCCCATGGTTTTGTATTTAGAGGCTTCGCGTATCTCCTCGCTAGGGATCTGCAAAAACTCCCAAGATTTGGTTTTGGTGTCGAAAACCTCGATCAAGTTCGTTGAATCGCCATTTTCGCAGCCTCCGGTTACATATATTTTCCCATCAACGACGCAAACAGATGGTGACAAACGGGGCACTTGCATGCTTGCGGTCTCACTACATTTGTGAGAATGACAGTCCATGACCATGACTCTAGACGATGCATTATCATCTACTTGACAACCAATGGCATAGATACTAGAATCAACAGCTACAACACTTGCCTTGCACTCAAAGGGAGAATTGGGAGATGAAACTGGGACCAAAATTTTGCTAGAGCTATTTGGTTTTTGGCAGAGAGTAAACCAACACCAACGTTGTTGGTTAGAGTCAGTACAAAGTTGTAAGTACACGTACAGACAACCCTCAGTCCGGTCTAAGAGTGACCGGGATGTGTAAAGATCAGGTGAAGCAAGGAGAGATCCAAATTTCTTGGAAACGAATGAAAGACTCGGGTAATACAATCTCGAGATACGACTTAAACAAATATGTACCATGTCTTCAGGAAGCATCGATAACGTCATCGGTCTTCTTCGAACAGGTGGCCCTTCTCCGTTCGACATTAACACTCACTCACACGGTGTTTCAGATTCGCTCTAGTAATGTGAAGTTTGTTGATAAGTTGAACAAAAGCTCTCTGAAGTTTTGGTTTTCACTGGTTTAGTATCTTTCTTAACCAGTGCCACGATAGATATATATACAATCCTAACCTTTTAGGATTTGACCAAAGAATTCTGCTTCCAATACAAATTAGCTAAATGTCTTTATTAAGGTTATTAGTTTGTTAAAAACAATATTTAATTTAGAAAAAAAAATCAGCATTTTAACATATAATAACATATGTGATAGGCGTTATCATTAGAAAGATTGACACGATTAATTATATATAGAAGGATATCTACAACAATATACCACGTCAGACGTTATCACTTGAAAGATTGATACGATTGATCATATAAATAGAAGGGAGGTAAACCCCATCCAACAACATTAGAAATTTGACACGAATAATAATATATATATACAAAGATATCTATAATAACAGAGCACATCATATATTATCATATAAATAGAAGAAGGTGGACCCCATCCAATAATATACCACGTTAGATATCATCATTGGAAAAACTGACACGATTAATCATAGAAAAATATCTACAACAATATAGCACTGTAAATATTATCATATAAATAGAAAGTGAATTCCCTTTTCGCACAAAAAAAAGAAATAGGAGGTGAATCCCATTTAAAAATATAACATGCCAGAACATCACCATTAAAAAAATTGACACAATTAATCATATACATAGAAAGATATTTATAACAATTTACTGTATATGATATTGTCATTGGAAAGATTGGTATAACTAATACAGTAAAACCTCTATAAATTAATAATATTGGGACTCTCAAATTTTATTAATTTATAGAGTTATTAATTAATCGATAAATTAATAATATTAATTTATAGAGATATTTTTTAGTTTGAATTTTTAATATTCATAAAAAATAAAACAAAAAAATTATTTTCAACAATGTAAAATTATCCAAAAATGTCATAATAATAAATTCAGAAGATAAATCAAGCAAATTTTATAAATTTGAAACAACATTGTTATCATAATTTACTATATTAAATTATTAATATATACATAAATGTATAATTATTAATTTATATTATTATTATGACTATATTTTTACGTAAAATTTTTAAAAAAATATTATTATATTATCTTATCGAATTTTGTCAATTTTTACACCGATCCGATTTGAGACTGGCAAAAATTATTAATTTATAGTAATTATTAATTTATCGAGTATTAATTTATAGAAGTTCTACTGTATATGCATACTTTTTCACAATTGTTTTTTACAAAAGTTTTCTATATTTTTTTTTGGTTGGATTACCAGAAAGTTATGGGTTAAAGCCCATAATCTTTCCACGCCTAAAATTAGAACATATAATATGAGAACCACCCGAGAAATTAGCCATCTCTTAAATCGATTATGTTAAATTTTAGTTAGATTTTAAAGCCTTTTCAACACAAAAAAAAAATTGTAAATTTTGTTGCTTATAAATAGCACATGGCCCATTAAATTAATGAGCCGGGCCTGGTTATATTCTAAATTGATGGACCAAGGCAGAACCAACCATGCTCACTCTGCATCGAAGAGAAAAAGCAGTCGTTTATTTCACACGAAGTCGTTTTACGCGAAAACAAAAAAACGACATGACGTTCTTATCCAAAACATGTAAACGACACCAATGGTTAAACTTGCAGTGAAGAAGCAAGGCCCTTATCTGTTTCTTCTCCAAGCCTCGTTTAAGCTCTCTAAATCAATGGCTTCCACACTTGTTCTTCAATTTCTCTCTTCTTCTACGAATCTCAACGTCGCAGTCCCAAGAACCTATAGCTTCAATGTACAAAACAACCGTCGAACAATGAAGTGTTCTTCGATTCCAGAGCCAAAGGATCAGTTTCTCGATCTCACACCTGCACCTGAATCAATCAACACGACGAGCGCCGAGAAGTTCCCGATTGAGAAACGGAGAAGATCGGAGATCATACGAGACAGAAAGCAAAGAGGGATCGAGAAGCCTGAGCCTCCGAATTTCGAGATTGGTTGGAAGAGAACGAAAGAGATAAACTTGGAGAAACCGAAAGGGTACGTGATAATGGATTTCTTGGAGAAGTTCGAAGGATTAATGGCGAGAGAGTTTGGGTCCAAGGAGCTTCTTGCTAAAACTGGCGAGATAGTTGCGGAGAGAGCGAGAGAGGAAGCTGAGGTTTTGAGAGATGAAGGGAAAGTTGAAGAGAGAATGGTGACTGAGCTTTTCAGGGTTTTGAAACTGATGGAGATGGATTTGGCCATGGTTAAAGCTTCGGTGAAAGAAGAAACTCTCAGTGAGAGGATCGAACAAGCTAGAGCTAGATGCAGACAAGCGATTCTAGTTGCTAATTCTTTCTGAGACAGTTTGGTTTCAGTTCTTCTTCTTCTTCTTCTTCTTCTTCTTGTCCCCTGCAAATTGAGTCAAGTCTATGGTATTGTTTATAGTCACACGAAGCTTCTTCATCTGTAAAAAGATCATAACTTTTTGAAGATGAGAGACTGTAGAAGAACTACGAAAATTTGGTATTGAAGGATCAAAACAAAGATTCATGCTTTTGGTTTTCGAAATTCTAAAGAACATAAAAGGGTTTTGGGAGGAAAATGCTTAATTAATTGAGAAAATCTGCTTCCACTAATTTCCTTTTCAAAGATAATTTTATCAGTCCAGTGCTTTGTTGTACACCACACAATAAAAATGCGAACTTTTAAGTTTTAACCATTTCAAACAAAAGCTTCACTGAGACAACAACAACAATGGCGTCTCTTAGATTCTACCCCTTAGAGATGTCGTCACCATGTCTATGTCCGTGCCCATCATCGCCAATTTCTCTTTCACCGTCTTTTACCAGATTCCATCTTCTTAACACAACGAACAAGAGACTAGATTCATCCAGAAATTGCAGAACGCTGCGAATCAGTTGTTCGTCTTCCTCCACTGTCACTGACCAAACACAACAATCGTCTTTCAATGACGCTGAGATGAAACTCATCGACGCTTTGATCGGAATTCAAGGCCGTGGCAAATCAGCTTCTCCTACACAGCTCAATGTATGTAATCACTTCTCATTTCTAAAATTTTCTTGCATGTTTCGTGATCTATTGTCTGATTGTAGGATGTGGAATCTGCTGTGAAAGTTCTTGAAGGTTTAAAGGGCATTCCAAATCCTGTATGAGTGCTTTCTTGAGAACCATTTCTTCTTCAAATTACGCACTGTTCTGTTGTGTTTTGTTCTTTGATCATTTTTGTTTTGTTTTTCTTGGGAACTGTTTCAAAATGTTTAGACAGGTTCTGACTTAATCGAAGGTCGTTGGCAATTAATGTTCACCACAAGACCTGGAACTGCATCTCCAATCCAGGTCAGTTAGTTTTTCCATCTTCTTGATGATTTGTATGTAATTAAGAAGAAGAACAATTGAAATAGGATGTGTTTCTCTGCAGAGAACATTTACAGGAGTAGATGTGTTCACCGTGTTTCAAGATGTGTACTTGAAGACAACAAACGATCCTCGTGTTTCAAACATTGTTAAATTCTCCGACATCATTGGTGAGCTGAAAGTTGAGGTGAGTTTCTTCACTCAGGTCTTTGCATCAAAAGACTCTGAGAATCTTATTACTTGTTTTGCTTCATTAAACAGGCAGTAGCGTCGATCAAAGATGAGAAAAGGGTCTTGTTTCGTTTCGATAGAGCAGCTTTCGCAATAAAGCTTCTCCCTTTCAAAGTTCCATATCCAGTTCCTTTTAGACTTCTTGGTGATGAAGCAAAAGGTTGGTTAGACATTACGTATCTGTCGCCTTCAGGAAACCTCAGGATTTCAAGAGGAAACAAGGTATAAATGAGTTTCTTGATTGCGATTAAAGAAGCTTTTTTAGCGTTTTTAAATAATTAAATCTATAAGGCGATATATTTTTTAGCGCAGGGAACAACGTTTGTTCTTCAGAAAGAAACTGTGCCTAGGCAGAAACTGTTAGCCACTATATCTCAAGATAAAGGAGTAGCAGAGGTAAATGTGTAATGCGTTCATTCAAGAAACCTGAAAACAAACGGTATTTGGATTTGAAATGGGAATCAATGGATCATATTAAGTATAACCACAGGCTATCGATGAGTTTCTTGCGTCTAATACTAATTCAGCGAAAGATGATTACGAGCTTGTAGAGGGAAGCTGGCAAATGATTTGGAGTTCACAGGTGACTTCTCTGATAACTTCACCTTTAATTTGTAAGAACAAGCAAGTTTATATTATTTGTTTGGATAAGTGATTTTTTGGGTTTATGTGTTGCAGATGTATACAGATAGTTGGCTTGAAAATGCAGCAAATGGTCTTATGGGAAGACAGGTAAACACTTGATTAGGTGTCTTTAGTACTTAGTAGTGTATGTGTATATTGTTGGTTTAGCAAAAATGAGGATTTGATTCAGATCATCGAGAAAGAAGGAAGAATAAAGTTTGAAGTTAACATCATTCCAGCATTTAGATTCTCCATGAAAGGAAGATTCTTGTAAGTCTAGCTCTTTTGTCTTTTAGATTAGTCATTTTGCCTTCTTTTTGTGATCTTGGTTTCTTGATAGGTTTCGTGATCTGCAGGAAATCAGGAGGCAGTACTTATGAACTGAAGATGAATGACACAGCAATTATAGGCGGTCCATTTGGATATCCGATCGAATTGGCAAACAGTATTGAGCTTCAAATTCTGTAAGATCTCTCAATCTTCTTCTTCATTCACAACAGATAAATAGTGCCACGATAGATATACATACAATCCTAACCATTTAGGATTTGACCAAAGGTTTCTGCTTCCAGATACAAATTAGCTACATTTCTTTATTAAGGTTATTAGTTTGTTAAAAAAAATATTCAATTTAGAAACAAAATCAGCATTTTAACATATAATAATATACTAGGTGATTGACATGCAGCGGTGTACAGACTATAATACATTTTATATGTTCAATTTTGATTAATATAGTATTGAAAATGTTTTATTTGTATATGATTAATTATATATTAATAATAAAATTTATAAATATTTAATAATAAAAAATAAGATTTTAAAATATTTCCTTACATAAAAAATGTAAATATAATAAATAATAAACGGGAAAACATAAAATATATAATAATTTATTTATTTTTTATTTTTGGTATGCACGCATATGCAGGTATAATTTTTGTTATAGACATAATTAGTTATAATATTTAAGTATTGATTAATTTTATTATATATTATAAAAATGTTATGTTTTTATACATATACAGTTTTAGTGTTCAACAACAATCACACAAATATTTCATATTGTTTTGTGTCTTTTGAAAAACTTTTATTTTTCCTAGCGTTTAAAGTAACATATAATTACAAATGTAAAAGTTATATTAAATAATAATTAAATTTTTATAATATGTTTTAAATATTATATATACTGTACTTTCTTTTTCTCCCTTACATAATATAATCTTGCCAATATATATATTTTAAGTATACATTTTTTCTTGACGTATTGCTAATTAAACAAAAATGAATTTTACCTCACCGCTCTTTGGACATAGAAAGATTTTTTTAAAATATATAAATTGTCTAACAACTAAAATTAAAATTAGAGTATAATCGAGGTTAACAAAATATATGCACGACAAGTTTACATGCGAGTTTGTCTTTGCATAATTAATATTTATATCTACACGTATATTTGTAAGAAAATTGAAGTATAACTTTTATGTGTTAAAAGAAAATAATAAAGTATATGTTTTGTAATATATATTTTAATAATATATGGTTGACTTTTTTAAAAATAATAATAATAAGTATATTTGTGCATGTAGATATGAGATAGAAATAAGTGAACTGTAATATTTATGTGTTGATAAGTTTTTCTGATTATTTCTGCAAATGCTATGCTTTTACACGATGCAGTTATTGACATTTAACAACAATCATGAAAATCATTTCTATCGTTTTGTATTTAATCAAAATTTCTTATTTTTCAGCGTTTTATGATATATTGTTTCTCGTTAAAAATATAATAAACATTTATTATAAATTTGTAAAATCATATTTTATAAAATTCTCTGGTAGCTCTCCGCTCATCTCTTCGTCAAATTTTTTATAATCTGCAATTTTTTGCTTTCACAAACTTTCTGTAATCGAATTGTTTAAGCCAGTCGGATATAAACTTATATGTGTATGATTTAAGGTGTAAAATAATATATTTAATATTTGATTGTTATATTTAAAAATTAAGAGTTGCTCTATTCCTACCTTTAATATATATTTTAATATAAAATATAATAAATCACAACATATACAAAATTTGATTCATGAAATAATATTTTAATATAATGGAAAAAATACATGCATGAAATAATTAATATATGTAAAAATAATATTTTAAAATATTTCAAATAAAAACAGAAAATCGATGAAAATTATTCTTATTTATATTTTTATCTTCTTTGATGCATAATTTTTCTTTCTTAACCTTTAATAATATATTAAACATTAAGATTATTTCCAATATATTTTACTATTTTTTCCTTTAAATATAAATGGACTTCTCTCTAACCTATTTCTATTTTGTAGAAAAAAAAGATAATTATTTTTTCTTCTATAATTAGAGGAGAAAATAACAACTTTTTTTCCTCTAAATTAGAAGATTTAAAATAAATGTGGGTTGAAGATGCTTTAAACCAAAAATATAGCCTGAGATTTTTATATGAAATCAAAGTCTTAAAGAGTCATTTTTATTTTTACTTCTATTTTTATTTATATATACAATATTATAATAAAAATTTAGCTAAGAGGATACGTATAATTTATTTTTCTATCTTTTTATTTTTTTGTTTTACTTATAATTTTAAATTCTTGATATATAATAAGAATTCATTCATATATGATACAAACTTTTTTCCTTATTTAAAAATAAAATTTATTTAGTTTTAACTTAACCAATCAAAATATTTCATTTATTTTAAGAAATTTGTCATGTCACATTTCCAGACTGGTATTCTTTCATACTAACTTTTGTTAAGGTGATGTTAGATAAAAAAAATTCTTTAAATCTGCTTCTCAAATAATAGTTAGGATGTGGTAGACCTTATCACTAGAAAGATTGACACGGTTAATCATATATAGAAGATATCTATAATAGTATACCACGTCAGATTATCAGTGAAAAGATTGATATGATTAAACATATAAATAGAAAGAGGTAAAATCCATCCAACAACATTTGAAAATTGACACGAATAGAAAGATATCTATAATAATCTAGCGCATTAGGTGAACCCCATCCAACAATATACCATCTTAGACATCACTATTACACATCACCATTAGCAAAATTGACACGATTAATCATAGAAAAATATCTATAACAATATAGTACAGCAAATCTTAGACATCACTATTACACATCACCATTAGCAAAATTGACACGATTAATCATAGAAAAATATCTATAACAATATAGTACAGCAAATATTATCATATAAATAGAAGGAGGTAGAAATTATCATGCATTGATTTGCTAACCAAGTAGCCATATTAACGTTGTAAAAAAAAAAAGTAGCCATATAAACCGAACCAAAATTGGTTTATTACTCGTATTGTTTTTATCTTTGTGCCGAACAAACCGAATCAAAACCAAAATGGAACTAAATAGTGTAACCTAACCGATTTGAAATGTGTTTTATCATTTGAACCTGAAACCAAACCAACATTTGATCATTTGAAAAAATGAATCGAACCGAATCAAACCAAATAACCGAATGTTGGCTCCTGCTAAGACAGAAATGTTTAACTTTAATGTTTGTTTGTAGGTACACAGATGAGAAGATGAGGATAAGTCGAGGATTTGATAATATTATCTTCGTGCATATTCGGGAAATTTAGCTGTCTCCCGGATATTTCCGGTTACCGAAAAAGAAATTGTTCTATATGCTCCTTATTTTGAATATATGAAAGAAAAGAAAAAATGGCATGTAAGAAAAGAACAAAACTGTCAAATGTTTCACAACAATTAAAGTTTATTGTTAAATTTCTCTGATCAATAGTTATAACAGTAACCAGAAAAAACAAGAAACCACATGTCATGAGATGATGATATGAGTTTCGCTACTAATCACTAAATTAAGACAAAAGTAATTAACTTGAATATATCTTCTCCAGCTTTTGTCTTAGTAATCAAGTAAATATTTTATTTTTTTGTAGGGAGAAAATAAAATCTCATTAACAAGGTAACTTGCCACTAACAGCTTCTGGTGTAATAAATTACTCTGTCAAATTGCCATTTTTCTCCCAGAAAGTTTTTGGGAAAAACAACATGTTTGGAAACTGTAACATTCTAAAGAATCATCGATAACGATACAACAGAGAAACATAATACTGATTTCCAGGATTTACTCCCTCAAATCTCTCTCCTTCAAATACTCTTCCATTTCTGCCGTAAATCTCTCTTGTCTCTGTCTCTGTCTCTTTTGCTGTTTCCTGTCTCTTGTATTTTGTTTGTATAGAGATGGATATCTACGAGACAAGCAACGAAGCCAAGACGACGGAGACTTCAGGGTCAAGTGACTCTGTCTTGCGCCTCACGAAACGCCTGAACCCCACTGTGTCTACGGCCACAACAAACATTGCCTTGTTCAACACGGCGACAACCAAATTCAAAGGTGTGGTTCAGCAGCAGAACGGTCACTGGGGGGCTCAGATATACGCAGACCACAAAAGGATTTGGCTCGGTACTTTCAAATCCGCTGCTGATGCTGCCGCGGCTTACGATAGCGCATCCATTAAGCTCCGAACCGTCGACGCTAACTCGCACCGAAACTTCCCTTGGTCTGAGTACACCATCCACGAACCGGAATTTCAAAGTTGGCACTCAACGGAAGACGTGTTGAACATGATCAAAGACGGTTCTTACCAACACAAGTTCAGAGATCATCTCAGAACTAGATCTTGGCCGTCTGTCGCCAGCAGCAACATCATGGGATCAAACCAGAGCCGAGGAGGAGGAGGAGGAGGAGGAGGAGGACAAGAATCAAACAAATGTTACACGTGCACGGTGCTCTTTCAGAAGAAATTGACACCGAGCGATGTTGGAAAGCTGAATAGGCTTGTGATACCTAAGAAGTTTGCAGTGAAGCATTTGCCTTCCATAAGCGAGGATCATAGCGAGAGAGAAGATGGAGAATCATCAGGAGGATCTGGGGACGATGTGGAGGCTGTCTTCTATGACAGAGATATGAGACAATGGAAGTTTAGGTATTGTTACTGGAGAAGTAGCCAGAGCTTTGTCTTCACCAGAGGATGGAACGGTTTCGTCAAGGAGAAGAATCTCAAGCAGAACGACGTTATCGTCTTTTACACTTGCGCTGCCCCTAGCCATGTCAACACATTAGAAGGCCAGAGCAAGACCATTAAGATGATTGATGTCCAATACTGTTTGGACAATGGTCTCGTGGTTCCCGAGGAAGTAAACAAGACGGTTCATAAGAGTTCTCATGAAGAAATGAAAACAGGAAACGTCTTTAGCCCGAAGTTCGAAGATGAAGAAACCAAACCAGAGAAGAACAAAGCAGGGTTTATGCTGTTTGGTGTCTTGATCCAATAGCTGCTACTTTATACTATAATATTAGCGGATTTTTCTTAATTTAAATAATTAGAGTTTTTTGTTTTGATTTGAATTGCGTAGCCTCTTTGATTTACAAACTGTTTTGGTTTTCATATCATTTCTAACATTAATTAGATTAAATGTCTCTCTTGTTTAGATTAAAGAAGAAGCCTTAAGAGTTGAGACAAAGCCACTTAAATGCTAAAACCTGGCTACAATGAACAAAAACAAACCTAAATAAGACATTAAGTTAAATGTCACAAAATCAAACAGTAGCAGGAGTTTTTTTTTAAAACTCCACTCTATATACTCCGTACAATGAGGAGACTCATCTTCTCAAGTAAGTCTCCGCTTGCATCTCCTTCGAGTTACATCGCCCTCGACGTCAGGAGAATCTTCTACAATGGTTTCTTCTTGAACAACTAAACCTCGGTTTCTCGATAGTTTTCTTATCGGCGTTGTCTGTGAATCTTGTGTGAAGTCTGCTGTTGCAGAGGGACAAGAAGATGAAGCGATTGCAGTTTCTCTGTGTGGCATTAGCTCTTCGCCCATTGGCACCATTTCAGACATCAGCTGTTGACACACATCATTACCACAACAATCAGGTATCTTCAGGACATATATTATACCATTTAAGAGTTTGAAATGAGTGAGATTCTATTTCATTACCTTCCAATCTTTGAAATCGAATCTAAACACAAAATGGTTATAAACGACTTCCCCCGACATCACCACGTTTGCAGCGGGTGCGTTTCTCGGCACTAAAGAGAAATCAGGAGATTAGATCAAAGCGAAGCGAATATCAGAATCAGAGATAAGAGGATGGGAATGTGATAACTAACATGAAAAATGAGAACCACTCTTATCGACAATGATCTCTACTCGTCCGTCTTTGGCCAAGAAAGACATAGCGAACAAATTCTCTACGGTCTGTGCAAATGATCTCCTGTTGAGCACCAGATTCTCAAGCCTCACGCGCTTCTTTTGCCGTAAGATGTTAAACATTATCGCCATGTTCTTGTCTGTATCTGTTTTCTCTTCTGACTCTGTATCATCTACCTGTTGGTTTCGACAAAGTACTCAAAATCAGCTCTTTTGTTCCTTATCTAAATCCAAACTACATAAACAGTCGACAAGCTCCAGACGAAGCAGTGCATCAAATTTCACAGAGGAACAATTGCAAAATCAATCAACAGATGAGATATATTCCAATTTCACTTTTATTTTTGAACAAGTAAACAGTGCCAACGACATACACAACACTGCATACCATGCAAATGACTCTTAAACGTCACTGATCAGGCTGAGATATAAAACACTCGAAAAAGCTAGGTGAGGAGTAGAAAGCTACAGATGTGAAATCTAGAAGATATACTGAACCACATATACTACATATTTGATCATAAACTCAAACAAAATGGAGTCTGCAACACATTTCTTACCTCCTCTGGACGAACGCCTTCACCAGGCTTTGTACGTTTTCTGTGAACTGTCCTTTTCCTTTCCTTCAGTTCAGTGTCCATAGGTCCCAACCTGATCACGAAACAGTCAAACAAACCTTTTGTTTAAAACAGAACAGAACACGCTCAGATGTAGCAAAGCAAGTCAATAATAAGTGGTTATTTTTTGAGAACTCACATAGTGGAACAACCACATGATACCAAAACTGTAGAGCATACAGCTAACCCAAGATCCTTCCATTTGAGAGATACTGGCGCAGTTTCATCAGCGTCGATCCCTAAAGAAGCCTGACCAAACCCATTGACCAAAGCATTAACAAACTCAGCCGGAGAAACCCCACTAGCAGACTGAGACTTCACCGACGACATTATGGTGTTTGCTATATCGAGAAACGCCTCCGCGTCTGCAATTTGCTCCCTAGGCTTTTGAACTGCGAGGAGATTGTAACCAAAACAAAAAGGTCTTTTTTCAGCAAGACAGAATTAGCCTTTTTCCATTTCTAAATACAACTAACTTAAGAACTTTCTTAAACCAAAGAATTCAAATTCCTCCAACATAAACCTCCACATAAAAGAGCTGCATTTTCATCATGTGATTACCTTTCTGGTGCAGGTTCTCAAATTCACTAAAAATTCGGGAGAATTTGTCGGAATCAGCCCTCGTCAAATCATCTTTGGAATCTGCAAACCAAAGAAAATGTAAGAGGAATCATCCAAAAAAAAAAAAAAACTTTAGAAAAAAATGGAATAGGCGAAAACAATCAATGAAACATAGAGAAGACGGAATAAGAAGAGTGTGTATGTACCGCTGATTTTGTTAATTAGAGCGAGATACTGAGATCTGAGAATTCTCCGATCAGAAATTCCCTGTTCTTCCTCCTGAGTCGGCGGCTCATTGGGCTGTGGAGAACCAGCTACGCTCTTATTCTGCTTCTCCTTCTCCTTCTTCACAGACCTTGGCCGCTCCGACTCGTCGACATCTCTCATCCCACTGCCTTCGCCGGTTGCTCTCGATTCTCGCTTCACCGTCCTCCTCATGTTGATTTCACAATTATCCACGAATGAAAAAGTAGAAGCGAAAGAAGAACAAGTGAAGGAAGAAAACCAAAATTGAAAACCCTAACGGCAGAGAGAATTTGGGGATTTTGATAATTTTGAGGGAAAATTAAGGAAGGAATAGTAAAACTCGACGATTTTCCCGCCGAGCCCAAACAAAATAACAAAGCTTCCAATTTAATTGTGCTCGAGAATATTGGGCCGAATGAAAGTTATAATAAGCTCTGTGCAGTTAATAAAATGGAGATAGTAATAACATTTTAAAATACTAAGAATTAACGAGAGTTACGGGATTTGTCAAAAAACAACTTTCGGGGAATTACAAAAAAAAATTGTGTTTCAGAGCTTTTTTGTTTTACTATTCAGAAAAAATATGTAACACTCCAATATGTTGATTGCAATGAATTAGAAAAAAAAAATGCAAAAACTGTAATAATCATTAATCACGACTTAAACCGAAACAAAACAAATAAAGAAAAACGGTCGATGGTTTTGATGTACTGTCTTGACTCTTGACTATTGAACATCGACCGTTTATATTTATAGCCCAGGCTTATTTTAGGCCCAACAAAGCCCACAAAGAGTTTTTAATAATGTAGCGTTGTTGTGGTCTTTCGTTCGAGAGTCCCATATCGGAAAACTAGGAGCAATCACCAGCAGAAGTTCTATTATAAATAAAGGCTTCGCTCTATGTTACCAAAACACGCAGCCATGTGGTGAGCACAAAGCGAACTATTCTTTCGCCTTTTACTAAAGAATACCGTGTGCTCTCCACGCTAAGTGGCATACGCCTATTTTTGGAGGGTCCTACTTACGAGTGGGTCCAACATTGTTTAGTAGAAAGTTTTGACTGGTTAGAGTTATGAGCTCTAAACCGGCACAAGGTTCGTCTCTTGTAAGGGGAGTAAAATCATTTTCTATTGGTTAAGTGAAATCATAATAATTCATTTTTTAAGAGATAAAGAAGTGGATGGCTGGGTTTTTTTTTAGGTAAATAGCAAGATAGAAATCAGTTAAGGATGATTTTTTTAAGTAAATAGCAAGATAGAAATGGGTTTTTTTTTAGGTAAATAGCAAGATAGAAATCAGTTAAAGAATGATCTTTTTAGGTAAATAGCAAGATAGAAATGAGCTAGAAAGAATCAGTTATTCGAGATTTCGTTTGGCAAGTTGATGAATGAATTATATATGTGGACATTTATGGTTTTAATTAAAGCTGACATTGGCTTGATATTAAATGAGGAGATAATATAGATTCGCCGCTGTCTTACGTAAGCATGATACGGATGGAAGTGATGAAGAGTTAATGTTATATGTAATGTTCCAACAAGAAATATATGGACACACCTAGGTTTATGGACTGTCCATAAGTACTAGTTTCTGCTTCTAATTTCATATTTATATATGTGGCAAATATATATATATATATATATATTATAACATGTTATTTGATATGATATAGGTTTATAATGATACATGAGTATAGTGAGTAGATATAAGTTTACAAAGTGTTATATGATGGAGAGTTATTATTATATTTGGAGGATTATTTGTTATGATGAGTGGTTAGTGTACGAGGTAGATCACATAAATTATATTATATTGTGTTGTTTGTGCTGATAGCTTTTATGTTCATAAATGAGTGTACTATATGTAAATCTACAAGGTATTGTAGTTGTCCAGTAACATTGATGGATGGTCATAGATATTTACTTTGGAGAGTTATTTGATATGATGGATCTACAAGGTACTGTAGATGTGCAAAAAGTAAAATAGGTTTACATAAACCGACATAGCATACATACGTACAACATACGATATATACAAACATCTCACATGTGTGATAATGAAATCAAAGAATTAGTTTGAAAATGATGGATAAGAGCGATCACTCAACTAAACAATCAAATGAGCGAGATCGAGCGAATTTGATCTTGAGAACATAACAAAAAGTGTGAGAATAAGATCTCACATGTGAAAAAATAGATAATCTCATAAATTAGATCTCAGTAGAGAATTTGATGGCTCTGTAACCTCAGATCTGATCGTGTATTGATTGTCTGAGATGATTTTCTGAGGTGCATGTGAGCGATTAACTAGAACAACAACAATGATATGGAGAGTGACGATTTGGCCAAGTCGGTGGTGGTCGGATCGGAGATAGATGATGAGATCATCTTGGCCTTGTTAAAACCACCAGACAGTTTTGTTGAAATGAAAAAAAAATGGGGTCAAGAGATTTCAAAGGAGAAGAAGTATCACAATGATGAAGAAAAAATAAAAATAAGAGATAAAAAAGAGAAGAGGATGTGGATTGATAATTTTAGATGTGGCTTTTTCTGATAATATATTGGATAGCGCGTGAGGTTAAAATGAAGAGAAAGTGTGGCGAAATATTTTAATGCTTCAACTCAAGAATATCATATGTCGATTCTCTAATTTACTACCGGTTTTTTGCCATTTAATGGTATTTCCCTTTTTTTAAAGAGTGTTGTCATTTTTGTTTTACCAAAAAATTACAATGTAAATTTTTAAACAAAAATTTTCTTTTAATCTTGTTAGATTTATGTATTAATTTGAAAAAAATATTATTTTATGTGTGAATAAAATATAAAATTAATTTTTTAATAATTTTTTTAATTTATGTGAAAAGTATTAAAGTGATATTTATTTTGAAATAGAAAGAATCTAAAAAAAATAAAAAAACCACCGTCGTCCTCCATTTTCCTCAACAGTTTTAGTGTTTAGGAGAATCAAATCGATTGTTGTCGAATCTGAATCCATATTCCCTTTGGATAAAACATTTGGTTTATTATTGTTGCTAAGTCTTCAGTGAAACTCCCCTTCGACATGTCATCTTCAATCCTCCTAAAAGGTATGTTCTTGAAGATTTGGATAAAGTGATGAGCAGGCTTTGATTCCCTACCAGTGAACAAGATTATGTTTTGTACACATCAGCTTACATACACATCGTCCCGCTGCCTTCTCGCTCTGTGCTTTCATAGTATTAGTTAGGTCGAAATAAAATCAATATATTTTAACAACTACGATTCCCAAAACATTTGCATTTCCAGCACTTTTATGTATTGACCAAGTTTTTGATATATGTTCTTCTGTCTCCGTCGTCCTCCGCGTGACCGCGTCACTTTCCATTCTTCACGCCTTCCTCCGATTAATCTTCAATTCTTTCACTATGGTCTGACTTATAATTTTTTTTTTTTTTTTTAATTCTCGTTTGTCCTTTATTGCAGTTTTCAAATAGTCATCACTAATATGAATGCTAATAGGTTACATTCTCGAAACTTAGAAGTCAGATGTAGCGTTATAGTAAGGCGGAGATTCCTTATACATAATTTGAGGCCAAGGCAAATTAAACAAATGTGAAATTTTAGAGTCTATACATGCATGCATCTCTTTCAGCTATTTAACGATTTATATAGCATATATACATATATATATATATAATTGAATAAGAAGCAACAAGGTCTATAACAATTGATTTATATGATATATTCATTCCCTTTGTAATCTATTTGCCTAATTGCCACGGACATTGATGGGAGGTGTATGATTCATCCTTCGATGTTACTTGATTTTTTTTAGTCATGTGCCTTGTTAGCGATGGGTTTAGCACCCCTTGCTGAAATCCCTTCATAAATTGAGACAAGACTCATTTAAAGCCCTACCTCAACTTCCGAGTTTAGGTCGGCGCCCAAATATGGAAATATTCGAAGGTATATTCGTATCGCAGAAGAAAAGGAAAGAAGATCCCGAGAAGAAAGGAAACTATCCTAATCCCGAAGGAGAAGGATTATTCTCAAGGCGGTCTACGGAGGCTATATAAGAAGAGCCCCCTCCCTCGAAGGTGATTCATTCACAACTTCGGACTTGAGACCAAGGGCAATTAATAGCTTTCTGCTTTCAGTTTTAGATCTCGGTTTTTTACTCACTAAACTTAGGTCGGCGTTCTTTTCCGACGACCTAAAACCCCTTGTACACTTCGAGCTCCGACTAATAATAAAAACAACTTTATATTTTCCCCCACAAATCTTTATATTTTCTTCAGAGGAGATATCCAGATCTTACAATTGGCGCCGTCTGTGGGGAATAAAAGATACAAGTTCGTCTACTCACGCCAGAACTCGAAGATGTCCACGGAGAAGCGATCCACTGACAATACCACCGACGATACGATCATCCAACCACCCGCCCAAAATCAGGTCGGGAACAACCCCAGGATACCGCAGATTGGACTGGGCTCTACCTCCCAAGAGCCCAATGGCAGTTCAAACGTCCAACAGCACGAGACGACAGATGAGAGCAACCTTCCGCCAGCCCGGAGCTCCCTCAACACGACGGGCACACTCCCGCCCCCTCCGCCAGCCCAGAGCTCCCTCAACACAACGGGCACACTCCCGCCTACTCCGCCTCCACCCGCACCAACGGACATCACCGCCATCCTACAATCATTCATGGCACAGATGGATAAAAAGATGAACGACCAGATCGGGGCTCTCAAAGCTCAGCAGATCGCGTACCTGGAGACATTACGGGAACCCCGACCCGAATCTCCAACGCAAGACGAGGACACCGAGACCGGCACTCCCAGAGCCATCCATATACCCCCGGGCACCACCGCATCCAGAGCCAAGCGCCTAATCTTCGGCGAAACACCCACCCCAACACGGGGCAGCGACCACCAGCACGTGAAGGACTCCAGCGCGCGATCTAAGCACAAATCCCGCCTGTCCGACCCGGACTCTACCCCCCACGAGACCCCCGAGCAAGCCGAGCTCACCCGTCTCCACCAGAGGATCAACGAAATCAAATCTCAAGTCCACCACAAGACTAGCTCGGCCCCCGAGTTGGAGAAGGTCCTAAAGCTTACTCAACAGACACCGTTCACAGACTGTATCACCCGCGTACCCCTCCGAGACACCGTGAAACTGAAGCTTCCAGTGTCCTTCGTCGGCAACACAGACCCACAAAAACATCTCACGACATTCAATAACGCAATGAACCGAGCCCGGTTCTCAAAAGAAGAACACGACGCCGCTCTCTGCCAATACTTTGTGGAATCCCTTGCCGGAAACGCCCTCCAGTGGTTCTCCAAGCTCAAACCGAACTCCATCTACATGTTTGCCCAACT